CTCTGCTGGCACTTGGACGTGAGTTCTGGCCTTGAATCGAGTTCTACATTAAAGTTCTGGTACAGTTCTGTTATGAACGAAAGAGTTCTAGCTTCTAGCCTTTCTAAATAATTTAAAACAATGAAAATAGTTTGTATTTTCATATTTTCCAACGTTCAGGTATGCTCTGCTGGCACTTGGACGTGAGTTCTGGACTCAAATCGATTTCTTTATTAGAGTTCTAGTACAGATCTGTTATAAAAGAAAGAATTCTAGCTTCTAGCCTTTCTAAATAATTTAAAACAATGAAAATAGTTTGTTTTTTCATATTTTCCAACGTTCTGGTATGCTCTGCTGGCACTTGGACGTGAGTTCTGGACTTAAATCGAGTTCTACATTAGACCTCTGGTACAGATCTGTTATAAACGAAAGAGTTCTAGCTTCTAGCCTTCCTAAATAATTTAAAACAATAAAAATAGGTTTTTTTTTCATAATTTCCAACGTTCAAGTATGCTCTGCTGGCACTTGGACGTGAGTTCTGGACTCAAATCGAGTTCTTTATTAGAGTTCTAGTACAGATCTGTTATAAACGAAAGAGTTCTAGCTTCTAGCCTTTCTAAATAATTTAAAATAATAAAAATAGGTTTTTTTTTTCATAATTTCCAACGTTCAGGTATGCTCTGCTGGCATTTGGACGTGAGTTCTGGACTCGAGCAGAGTTTTATATTGCAGTTCTAATACAGATCTCTTATAAACGAAAGAGTTCTAGCTTCTAGCCTTTCTAAATAATTTAAAACAATTAAAATAGATTTTTTTTTCATATTTTTCAACGTTTGGGTATGCTCTGCTGGCACTTGGACGTGAGTTCTGGACTTGAATCGAGTTCTACATTAGAGCTCTGGTAGAGATCTGATATAAACGAAAGAGTTCTAGCTTCTAGCCTTTCTAAATAATTTAAACAATTAAAATAGATTTTTTTTTCATATTTTTCAACGTTTGGGTATGCTCTGCTGGCACTTGGACGTGAGTTCTGGACTTGAATCGAGTTCTACATTAGAGCTCTGGTACAGATCTGATATAAACGAAAGAGTTCTAGCTTCTAGCCTTTCTGAATAATTTAAAACAATAAAAATAGGTTTTTTTTTTCATAATTTCCAACGTTCAAGTATGCTCTGCTGGCACTTGGACGTGAGTTCTGGACTCAAATCGAGTTCTTTATTAGAGTTCTAGTACAGATCTGTTATAAACGAAAGAGTTCTAGCTTCTTGCCTTCCTAAATAATTTAAAACAATAAAAATAGGTTTTTTTTTCATAATTTCCAACGTTCAAGTATGCTCTGCTGGCACTTGGACGTGAGTTCTGGACTAAAATCGAGTTCTTTATTAGAGTTCTAGTACAGATCTCTTATAAACGAAAGAGTTCTAGCTTCTAGCCTTTCTAAATAATTTAAAACAATGAAAATAGTTTGTATTTTCATAATTTCCAACGTTCAAGTATGCTCTGCTGGCACTTGGACGTGAGTTATGGACTCAAATCGAGTTCTTTATTAGAGTTCTAGTACAGATCTGTTATAAACGAAAGAGTTCTAGCTTCTAGCCTTTCTAAATAATTTAAAACAATAAAAATAGGTTTTTTTTTTCATATTTTTCAACGTTTGGGTATGCTCTGCTGGCACTTGGACGTGAGTTCTGGACTTGAATCGAGTTCTACATTAGAGCTCTGGTAGAGATCTGATATAAACGAAAGAGTTCTAGCTTCTAGCCTTTCTAAATAATTTAAACAATTAAAATAGATTTTTTTTTCATATTTTTCAACGTTTGGGTATGCTCTGCTGGCACTTGGACGTGAGTTCTGGACTTGAATCGAGTTCTACATTAGAGCTCTGGTACAGATCTGATATAAACGAAAGAGTTCTAGCTTCTAGCCTTTCTGAATAATTTAAAACAATAAAAATAGGTTTTTTTTTTCATAATTTCCAACGTTCAAGTATGCTCTGCTGGCACTTGGACGTGAGTTCTGGACTCAAATCGAGTTCTTTATTAGAGTTCTAGTACAGATCTGTTATAAACGAAAGAGTTCTAGCTTCTAGCCTTTCTAAAAATTTAAAACAATAAAAATAGGTTTTTTTTTCATAATTTCCAACGTTCAGGTATGCTCTGCTGGCACTTGGACGTGAGTTCTGGACTCGAGCAGAGTTTTATATTGCAGTTCTAATACAGATCTCTTATAAACGAAAGAGTTCTAACTTCTAGCCCTTATAAATAATTCAAAACAATGAAAATAGTATTTTTTAATATTTTTCAACGTTCTGGTATGCTCTGCTGGCACTTGGACGTGAGTTCTAGACTCAAATCGATTTCTTTATTAGAGTTCTAATACAGATCTGTTATAAACGGAAGAGTTCTAGCTTCTAGCCTTTCAAAATAATTTAAAACAATGAAAATAGTTTTTTTTCACATTTTCCAACGTTCTGGTATGCTCTGCTGGCACTTGGACGTGAGTTCTGGACTCCAATCGAGTTTTATATTAGAGTTCTGGTACAGATCTGTTATAAACAAAAGAGTTCTAACTTCTAGCCTGTCTAAATAATTTAAAACAATGAAAATAGTTTTTTTTTTACATTTTCCAACGTTCTGGTATGCTCTGCTGGCACTTGGACGTGAGTTCTGGACTCGAACAGAGTTTAAGATTGCAGTTCTGATACAAATCTGTTATAAACGAAGGAGTTCTAACTTCTAGCCTTTCTAAATAATTTAAAACAATGAAAATAGTTTTTTCATATTTTCCAACTTTCTGGTATGCTCTGCTGGCATTTGGACGTGAGTTCTGGACTCGAGCAGAGTTTTATATTACAGTTCTAATACAGATCTCTTATAAACAAAAGAGTTCTAGCTTCTAGCCTTTCTAAATAATTTAAAACAATTAAAATAGATTTTTTTTTCATATTTTTCAACGTTTGGGTATGCTCTGCTGGCACTTGGACGTGAGTTCTGGACTTGAATCGAGTTCTACATTAGAGCTCTGGTACAGATCTGATATAAACGAAAGAGTTCTAGCTTCTAGCCTTTCTAAATAATTTAAAACAATGAAAATACTTTGTTTTTTCATATTTTCCAACGTTCTGGTATGCTCTGCTGGCACTTGGACGTGAGTTCTGGACTCGAACAGAGTTTTATGTTGTAGTTCTGATACAGGTCTATTATAAACGAAGGAGTTCTAACTTCTAGCTTTTCTAAATAATTTAAAACAATGAAAATAGCTTGTTTTTTCATATTTTCCAACGTTCTGGTATGCTCTGCTGGCACTTGGACGTGAGTTCTGGACTTAAATCGTATTCTACATTAGAACTCTGGTACAGATCTGTTATAAACGAAAGAGTTCTAGCTTCTAGCCTTCCTAAATAATTTAAAACAATAAAAATAGGTTTTTTTTTTCATAATTTCCAACGTTCAAGTATGCTCTGCTGGCACTTGGACGTGAGTTCTGGACTCAAATCGAGTTCTTTATTAGAGTTCTAGTACAGATCTGTTATAAACGAAAGAGTTCTAGCTTCTAGCCTTTCTAAATAATTTAAAATAATAAAAATAGGTTTTTTTTTCATAATTTCCAACGTTCAGGTATGCTCTGCTGGCACTTGGACGTGAGTTCTGGACTCGAGCAGAGTTTTATATTGCAGTTCTAATACAGATCTCTTATAAACGAAAGAGTTCTAGCTTCTAGCCTTTCTAAATAATTCAAAACAATGAAAATAGTATTTTTTAATATTTTTCAACGTTCAGGTATGCTCTGCTGGCACTTGGACGTGAGTTCTGGACTCAAATCGATTTCTTTATTAGAGTTCTAATACAGATCTGTTATAAACGGAAGAGTTCTAGCTTCTAGCCTTTCAAAATAATTTAAAACAATGAAAATAGTTTTTTTTCACATTTTCCAACGTTCTGGTATGCTCTGCTGGCACTTGGACGTGAGTTCTGGACTCCAATCGAGTTTTATATTAGAGTTCTGGTACAGATCTGTTATAAACAAAAGAGTTCTAACTTCTAGCCTGTCTAAATAATTTAAAACAATGAAAATAGTTTTTTTTCACATTTTCCAACGTTCTGGTATGCTCTGCTGGCACTTGGACGTGAGTTCTGGACTCGAACAGAGTTTAAGATTGCAGTTCTGATACAAATCTGTTATAAACGAAGGAGTTCTAACTTCTAGCCTTTCTAAATAATTTAAAACAATGAAAATAGTTTTTTCATATTTTCCAACTTTCTGGTATGCTCTGCTGGCACTTGGACGTGAGTTCTGGACTCGAGCAGAGTTTTATATTGCAGTTCTAATACAGATCTCTTATAAACGAAAGAGTTCTAACTTCTGGCCCTTTTAAATAATTCAAAACAATGAAAATAGTATTTTTTAATATTTTTCAACGTTCTGGTATGCTCTGCTGGCACTTGGACGTGAGTTCTGGACTCGAACCGAGTTCTATATTACAGTTCTGATACAGATCGGTGATAAACGAAAGAGTTCTTGCCTTTTACAATAATTTGAAACAATAAAAATGGTATGTTCTGACTTTTCAAAAATTCGGATATGATCTGCTGGAACTTGGCTGAGAGTCCAGAACTATTCCTGAAAAGTATCAGGAACTATAGAACTCAGCTCCTTGCGCGAAGAACTCACATTTGTTTTTGATTTTCTGCAAAATGATCTGCTACGGGAAGTTAGCAGATCATTTTGTCAATTGACTTTTTTTAAGGTAAAAACGCCAGAACTATTTCTAAAAAGTATCAGGAACTATAGAACTCACGTGCATGCGAATAGAACTCACTTTTTTTTTTGATCTGCTGGACAATGATCTGCTAAGTTCACTGACATTGGTATTACACCGTTTTCATATTATTTTGTTAAAATTAGACTGGAAAAACATGAGCAATGTAGCCCTAATGGTCAGTAAAAAGTTTCTTTTTAGCCTTATGGGTACGGAACCCTAAAAATGATTGGTAACTTATTTATAAATATGTGTTACTTACCCGAATCATTTCTTAAGTAAGAGCAAATGGCGGGCACGAGCGAGCTGTTGACCACCAGGTCGATGAACTCAGGCGGCAGGTCGTGCGCGTCGCCCTCTCCCGCCTCCTCGGGCTCGTCCTCCTCCTGCGACCCCTCTTCCGGCGGCCATTTCTCGCCGGGGTTCATGTACGATACTAACACCTGATATGAAAAACATGAAAATTTTATAAAAACCGCAATTATATTTATTTTATTACATGGCTTTCTTTATTCATTGTATCTTTCTTTCATAAAAATAAAATATTTTTAAATGAATAATTTCTTGAATACCTACTCATACCATCAGATATTTAATTACACTTTTCATAAAAGCAAAATTAACGAATGTAAAATCAATAACAACCTGCAAGAGCACGGTGACGTGCTCCTCCTCGATGCGCTGCCGCACGAGCGCCTGCTCCACGTTCCACGACTGCTGCGTGGAGCCGGTGCCGAAGCCCGTGCCCTTCGCCCAGTACAGCTGCGACTTCTCCTCCTTGCCTGACCCGTTCGAGTTTTGACTATTCTGCTCATATATACGCATTTGTTAGAAATAATTAAATACTTTAAAAATATAGATATCGAGTGTGATTTCAATTAAACCGTTGACAATGACTTGTTAACAAATATATTCACCAATTTCTAAATTACTTTAAAAGTAAAATTATCTACTCTTTACTAAAATTTCAGTACTATATTCTTTCTAATAAGTTCCTTCCTCCTATCAGGTGTATGATCCATTTATAGATATTTCGAGTATATTGTAAATTGACGTAGATATTACATGTAATAAAATTCTAACTGAGCCGAATCTGTACATGAAATATTTTTTGGAAAATCTTAATAAAATAGACATTGTTATCGAAACAGAGGCCAACCAGAGGGCTAATCTAACCCGAGAACCAGAGGGCGAATCTAATTTTTAAAATTTTTGTCTGTCTGTCTGTCTCGTCTGTTAATGCATCACGGAAAAACCACTGGACGGATTTTGATGAAATTTGGTATGATGATAGCTTGTTATTCAGGTCAACATATAGGATGCTTTTTATTGCGGGAAAATATCTCATCTCTGAGAAATCTATACTAAACGTAAGCAGGGACGAACTCGAACAAAGCGAGGGTGAGTCGCTAGTCTTTTTAATAAGTTCCTTCCTCCTTTCAAGTGTATGTATCTATTTATGGATATTTCGAGTACATTGTAAATTGACGTAGACGAGTGAGTGTGTGTGTGTGTGTGTGTGTCTGGGTATGTCTACCTGTGCGCCGGGCGGCTTGTGGTGCGTGAAGACGGCGAGGCAGGCGAGCACGAGGCGCACGGCGCCCAGGCGCAGCAGCGCGGCGCGCAGCTCGCGGCCGGCGGGCGATGCGCGCGGCGCGGCCTCCAGCAGCGCGCCCGCCACGCGGAAGGGCAGCGTGCCCAGCGACGCGCCCGCCTTGCCGCCCGCGCCCGCGCCGCTCACCACGATGTTGCCTGTCGTCACATACATGTCCGCTTTTAATATACTACCTCAGCTCCACTTACAAATGATGTGCGTCGTTTTAGTACCAATTACTATAATATAGTAAAATATCTGTATTTTTAGTTTTAGGACTGACTCACAATATATAAAACATCAACATTTAATAATCCTTTTTTAGAATTTTTTTGAATAATATTTTCTTATAGCAGACTACCATCTTTTCATTTATTTCTACCTGATTTTAAATGAAAAACTTTATATTTATTGATAAATGTGTATCATTGTATAACTTTTTTAGGGGCGACCATAGATATTTTTATGACAAAATTATATTTCATAAAAACCACTTTTATTTCCAGTGTATACTACACAAAAATATAAAAGTATATTTCAGCACGAGCAACATACGTCCTTCCTCGTCGTGTGCGACGCCGAGCAGCAGGCGCAGCAGGTGCACGGCGCGCGCGCCCTCGTCCAGCAGCGCGGCGGCGTAGCCCGGCAGCTTGAGCAGCAGCGCCAGCGCCAGCAGCGCGTGCGCCGGCACGCCCGCCGCGCCCGCCTCCTCCGCCGCGCCCGCCGCGCCCGCGCCCGCGCCGCCCGCGCCGCCCGCCGACGTCACGCCCAGCTCCACCATCTCCTGCGCGACGAAACACACACACAGTCAACACACGCAACGATACGCTATACACTATATTTTGAGTCAGATTTATTTATTTAATACTTTGAATGTATAAGAAATATATATATGTAAGAAAGGTAACCTTCTTACCACCGAAACTAATTTTATAAAATTAGACTTCATTACACAAACCAAAATGATATAGAAAATTAAAATGTAAACGTAAATGAAAAATATTATGTTAAATTCAAAATAATTAACGACGTTTTGATAAATATATTAATCATCTATACAGATAAACAGCTTTTTACTAAATGCATATGAAATTATTATACACAGTACTTATAAGAAAAATACAATTTTTAAAAATTTTAAGTGTTTGTCTGTCTGTCTGTTTGTTCTGGCTAATCTAGTGGCTGGACCGATTTTGACGGGGCCTTTACTTGCAGATAATTGAGATTATAAGGAGTAACTTAAACTACTTTTATAATAGAAAAACAAAAATTGAATTCTGCTCAAAAAAAATTAAAACGTACCTAGGGACGCCCTTGAGCGAAGCGAGGGTAAACCACTAGTAATCATTATAAATACGTTGTGCATACGAAATGTCGTAATGAATGACAAATTTGCGAATATCGCTATCCTAAATTGTTAATATGAATAGTTTAATATATTAAAATATATTGTTATCAGTAGGTGATCGAATATCGGATAGTATGTGAAGTTTATGAGCGTGTCTGAGTGCGGTGTGTGGGTGTATGTGAGTGTAAGTGAGAGCAACAACCTCGTAGGCGTCGTCTAGCTTGACCCAGTCGAGGTCGTGGTGGTGCGGCGGTGCGGGCGGCGGCGCGGGCGCGGCGTGTGGGCGCGGCAGGCGCGCCGCCACCAGCGCCAGACCGCCGCACGCGCCGAACTCGCGCAGCACCACGTTGCTGCGGTACCCGCTCGCCGCGCCCGACCCGCCCTCGCCGCAGCTGCCGCCCTTCCACATTTCTGTTAATAAATGATCTCTTCTAAAACGTGTCTAATTTGTATTCATAGTAATTAATAGAAAGAAACTATGGAAAGTAAATATGAAAGTTAAAAATAGATGATTTTGTCAAATCGTGATAATGTATAGTTATTAAGTTTTTAAAAAATTTTGATTGTTTTCACGTTATACTAACATAATAAGCTGAAGACTTTGTCTTTTTTGTTTGAACACACTAATCTTTGGAACTACCAATCGAATTTGAAAATTCTTTTTTGCATTCGATAGCCCAATTCTCGAGGAAGGTTCTAGACTAAGTAACATCACGTTAAAATTTTTAAGTAAAACAGTTATACGTAATTAACGCGGGCGGAGCCGCTGAAAAGATAAATAACAAATATATCTACTAATATTATAGAGGCGGATTTTTTTTGTTTCTTTGAACGCGCTAATCTCAGGAACTAATAATCCGATTGGAAAAATTCCTTTTGCATTAGATAGCCCGTTAATTGAGGAAGGCTATAGGATATATATAATCCCAGAAAAAATTATGATTCCCGTGGGATAGATTTGTTTTTGTCTAGGGACGAACCCGAAGCGAGGGTGAGTCGCTAATTTTTAATAAGTAATAAAATTCGAAAAACTCAATGGAAATAATTGCTAATACGTGCCTCCGTGAGCATTGATATACAGGTTGAGCGTGAGGTGCGGCCCGAACACGTGCGGCACGGCGGCGTGCAGCTGCGCCAACGTCGTGCTGGGCGGTATGAAGCCGTCTATTCCTTCCACCCTTACGCGGATAGAAGATTCTATTAAATCTGCAGAAAAATATTATCTAAATAAGAAGCATCATTTATTGTAATAAACATGTATGTATAATATTTGATAGTAAGTATTTCTATTTAAATAAGGATAATTAATATGCATTTAAAATACAAAATAGCATAAAAATGTGATAAACAGTATTGAAAAGTTGAAAACGATATAAGACCGTCGTTAGGTGGCGCGGTGGATGTGTCACTGTTGGTCTTGGACTGTCGCTTCTTGCTGGTCTGCTGCTTGAGCGAGGAGTTCTTGACGTCCTTGACGCGCTTGTCCTTGGAGGCGCTGGCGGCCGCGAGCGACAGCTCCCACGCCTCGGCCACCGTGAGGATGGCGGTGTCGGACGCGCTGCGCAGCACGGCGCCGCCCTCGCCGCCGCGCCCGCCGCTCGCGCCCTGGCTCGACAGCCTGCTCGCCTCTTCCAGCAGTGGTGCTGTACATTTGCAAAATATTGCATAAACATTACATTATCAACGTTATATTATAACAAATTTTAATTCCCCTTCATGAAGATCAGATAAATTAAAATTGAGAGAGGGCCATACCAAGTAGTGGGACGTTAAAAATGAATAACTTTTTTTTCTAAGAAATAAATAATATTTCTAAGAAATAAATAAAATAGCAATGAGTCAATTAGTTTTCATAATGTTTTAAAAAAAATAATAATGTATACGAAAATAAACAATATTTTTATATAAAATTATGTATGATGTGTAAACGTTGTTCTTTATACTGAAAAGACCGGGCAATTTGTATGAAATTCAGCACTCATGACTAGACTATGACAGGGGTGCTCACTGTGCGTACCGGGCGGGCGGTGGTCGGCGAGCACGGAGCGCACGGTGGTGTGCAGCGGCAGCAGCAGCGCGGCGTGCGCCGCGGCGCCGGGGTGGGGCGGCGCGCCCAGCTGCGGCGGCGCGCACGCGCTGGCGCCGCCCGACGCCCAGCGCAGCGCCACGCCCACGCGCTCACCCGACAGCACCAGCCGCAGGATCAGCGCGCGCGTGAACCCCGACAGCCCCTCAGGACCTGCACATACAGACAGAGTTAGGTACTTGACACCGATAAGACACGACTTCTTTAAAAAACTTTAATTTGACTCTGACAACTCAATTTTGAAATAACTGTAAAAAAATTTTGTTCATTTATAACCAATAAATAGATAGTCAATTGAGTTCGCAAATTAGTGACATCTCAAATTGTTATTGTCATAACTCATACGAAATGTCCGTACATTTCGTATGAGTTATGACAATCACGGGGAAATCGCCATTTGATATGTCACAAATACTATGCCAACTTGTTGATAAACACAACTACCCACTTCATCACTTTTCAGTAGACATATTCCTGAACTACGTCATCACTATAGATCACAATCACGTGTCTGTTAATAGACAAATATATAGTTTATTATTCTTATCCATTCACATAGTTAAGTATTTACCGTAAACACATTTTCCTATGGTTTGTTATGTTTAAGATATAATAATTTCTAATAAAAAACGTACCATAGTTATTAAGATTATAATTTAACTTACCAGTATAAGGCATAGATTCAAGAATACTGTGTAGTGTGGAAGCGAAAAGTTTCTGGTTGGCGTTGTGACACGCCGTCAGCTCAGAGAACAACCGGATTGTGTTTTCCTCGAGCACCGCGAAGTGTGCATTTTCTTGCCAAGTACTGAAAATATAGTTAGAAAGTTAAATATAGTTAGAAGAAAGTTCATGTCAGCATATGTTTGTTACTCTATCACGCCGAAATATCTGGACGGATTTGTACACATAGATAAGCTATATTTTGAAGTAGTATATAAAGCTAATGTTTGTAATAAAATTTGCCAAAAGGTGTCGCTACCTGTACATATTACTATGGACGTACTAGGGACGCACTTTTTTATATTATACAATTATTATGTAATTTTAGACTTCCTTAGAAGTAATGTTACATAGCAATTTAATTAGAAATGACGTCGTCCACAGGAGTGTAACGAGCGTCGGCCGCAGTACGTACGTGGCGGCGGGGCGCGGGTGGCATAGCAGGCGCAGCAGCGGGCGCCAGAAGCCGCTGCCGGCGCCGCCCAGCCACGCCTTGACGCGGCGCTCGGCGCTCACCAGCCGCGCCCATTCCACCACCTCGCAGATACTCTGCATCGACGGCAGCTCTGCCGGCACACGACATGCATGCACTCTCATTTACAGTTCATTAGCATTTCAGTATCACGAATGGATTTTTTTTCATATTACAGGTTTAGTATTAATTATTTTACCAGACAGAAAATCAAGTCACAAATTCCAAATTATTGTAGTAGGAATTTAAATAAACTAAGCAATTTTTACCTTTAAGTCGCCCATATTCTTGAGTTTGAGAATCGGTCATGTGAACGTCCTCTTCAGAATTAGATTGCGCCATTATCGCTTCAAGTTTAGCTTCACTGAAATCTGTAATTATAATAAAACTTTAGTTATTTATTAGGTTTTCAATGTATGTATATATTATAAATAAAAAATAATCCTTAAAATTAAACTGCCTAGGACTTCGCCTTCACGTGTATTTATTTAGTTTGCAACCACTAACCATGAGATCACAATTTGTTTAAGAGTTTGTGCCATTTTAAACAAAAATGTGCACAATTAATTTTATTTTTGGGTCTTCTCAACCGACTACAAACTTTTTTTACAATAAAATTATGGAGGGTAGAAGTATCCTTACTTCTAAATTTACAAATTTTGCAAATTAAGGTGGCGCTATAGTAGCAAGTGGAAGAATATTAAAAGGAGCGCTACAAATTATTAGAGTAGGATACTAAATTAAAAAAAGACATTCTTTTTGCATTAACAACAATAAAAGCATCAAAATAACAAAGATGTATCAACAAAATTTCATAAAAAACAAATCACTATGTACGTTATTTTAGGAGTTTCACAGGCTATTATTTACTAAATTACAGTTGACTACGTAAATAAATTTTCGAGATTGACGTTGAGATTTTAAATACTGCATATTTCTTAACTACAGAAGTCAAAAAAATATTAAATTTTTCAACCCAGCACACTTCAATCTGTTTATAACAGCTAAATTCATATCATTTCCATTTCCTACACTAGCGCTATTTTGGTGAGTGTTCGAACAATAATTTGCTGTTTACATGTGGACACTTTTTCAACTAATCCCCCATACAAGACGGTCCTCCTTACTTCTACTCTCCATAAATAAAATCCATTAAATTATTTTTCAACACCAAAGGACACCAATAGATTTAGGAATAGAAATAGAGGTGTAGTGCACTGGCACTGACCGGCGATGGCCTGCACGAGCGCGGCGGGCAGCGGGCAGTGCAGCAGCGCCAGCGTGGCGGCGGGCGACATGGCGGCGGCGGCCACAGTGCGCAGGCGGCCGCCGCGCAGACGCGCCACCACGGCGCCGCCGCCCCACGCCGCGCACGCCGGCCGCCCCACCTTCGTGTCGTCCGTCACGCTCTCCATGCTGGGGGAACACACGCAAATTATACAGTTTCATTAAATCGTCATTTTCCCGTTGATTATAACTGTGTATGTATAAACATATTTTTTACTTAAAAAATAAATATATATCTACCTCACGTCAAAGTCCATTGGAATTTCCATCTGCTCTAGTAGGAACCTAAACAACTCTGGCCGTATGTAGCACATTGAGCACAATACTGAAAAATATTTAATTCTTAATAAAAAAAAACTGACACGTGTATAACTTACATTTTTTTTAAATAAATTGACTAATCAATCCGTAAAACAAATTGTTACCTGCATCTAAAGATTTCTTAAGTAAATTGCTTTCCGGTACATCTTTCACCCATGTATAAATAAGTTCGAATAAATCATCAGTTATGAGTTCCTCCAAGTTTTGTAAAATATTGTCTTGCTTCAAAGTCCACAGTACCTAGAAATAACAAAATTGAATTTAAAAATTTAATTAAATATAAAAATTTAATTAAAAATAAAATATAAAAATGTAATAAGTAATTATTATCAATATATCGGTATATGGAACATTGGCGAGAGCACGCACCGAGGCTAGCGTGTGCACGAGCGCGGCGGAGGGCTCGTGTGCGTCGCGCAGCGCGCGCTCGGCGGCGGCGGCCAGCCACGCCACGTAGGCCTGCGCGCAGCCCGCCGAGCACCAGCGGCACAGCGCCGTGGCCAGCGAGCACAGCCCGCTGATGCTGCCGCTGCTCACCGCCACCGTGCCGCGCGACTGCTGGAACGCTGAATGCAACACACACCGATAAATAAACTGTGTTCGGGATAACCGATTTTAGTTATGTAGAAATGATAATTAAAATGTTTTTTTTTAAATAGATAATCAAACATAACTTTGGTATTAATGATATTTTAAAACATTTTTTTCTTTGAAATTTAGATCGATAATCTTTATCAATAAAATCGATTGAATATTGTCACTTCCCAGTTCATTAGTACTGGGAAGTGTCACCTACATATAATAAAAATATTACAGACAGATATTGATACTTTTATTATGTAGTCATAATATTTTTAATATATGGCTCACCATGACTAACAAAATATTATCCTCTCTATAAAATATACAGCATAGCAGTATGATGGGGCTATGGTCTACCCTAACAATACATAATACAAAGAGCTATTACCGTGCGTCTGCGCATGCGCGTCCATCTGCAGCAGCGCGGTGAGTAGCGGGGCGCGCAGCGCGGGCGCGGAGCGCGCGGCGACGAGCAGCACGTGGTGCGCGTGCTGCGCCTGCGCGCCGCCCGCTAGCACGCACGCGCCCAGCGCCGCCAGCGCGCCCGCGCCGCCCAGCGCCGCCCAGTGCGCCTCCTCCAGCCGCGCGCGCGTGCACGACCGCAACACGCGCGCCCACCGATTTCTACAGTATAGGTTTTGATAATTACAAATCAGTTTTATAAATTAAGGTACATACATCCTCTGAGGTTGTAAACGCATTTTCTTTTCGGACTAATTTTGTTTTCTGTAGTAATTTTATTTATCTATGTGATAATGTAATTTTTCTTTATAAAGTGACTTCGAAAAAGAGGAAGTGTATTTTATAATATATCTTGGCTCATCGTAAATTATTATTTAGTTTTTTAATGCATAAAGCGTACCTTAAACAACTTAAACTTCATTTAAAAATAAATCCCATCCCTCAAGGGTGGACTAATTACTTATATGTGATTTTGAAATCGGTATACCATTGTTAATACACAGTTAACGCGTAGTGTGTTATCATTCTGATCGATATTGTAAAATAAGCATAATGCGGTACTGACTCGTGGTACTCCTGCGCGGCGAGGTGCGGGTCGCTGGGCGAGGAGAAGGCGGGCGCGGCCAGCAGGCGCAGCTGCAGCAGGCCCATGTTGGAGCTGTCGCGCGGCTTGTACAGGCGCAGCGTGACCGTGGTGACCACCAGCGGCCGCGCCAGCGCCAGGCGGATGAACGTCATGCCGGCCGTGCTCTGCGGCGCGCCCAGCGGCACCACAGCGCCGCTGCAGCCCGCCTCCACGCCAACCGCACCCGGACACGCTGCAGTCAATAGCATTATGTTATCGTACGCGTCTCCATTACTATCTGGTTCACGTTGGTAGAAAAAGATTCTAATAGAATGCAGTCTAATAGAACACAGACCTCACACGTTTTATAATTTTTATATAATAATTGATATGGAAAAAAAATTGTCGTTGACAATATATGGTCTAAAATCTATGCAGTAAATCAAAGAATTTGAATAAAGAATATACTTTAAGAAAAATGTATTGGAAATTAAACTCAAAAAAATATCATTAGTTAAGGTCGGAAATACAAAAATAAGTCCAAGAAAAAGATGCTAGGACACTGACTGGCGAGGCTGGTGAGGTGCGGCTGCAGGTGCACCTCGTGCAGCGTGGCGGCGTAGGGCAGCGTGAGCGTGAGCGCGAGCGACGCGTCGTCGGCGCTGAAGAAGTGGTAGGACCAGGCGGCGGCGCGGACGCGGCGCGCGGCGCACGCGCTGGCGCCGCCGCCGCCGCCCAGCAGCACATCCGCCGTCTGCGCCGTGGGGTTGCCGCACGACACCGTGCCTGCCGCACACACACAATACACCACCTTGTCATATCATTCCCATGCGTATTATTTTTTGTAAAAAATAAAAGATAAAATGAAATACCGATTTCGTCTATCTAAAGCTGAAGAATTTGCTTTATGTTGGTACATAATAATGTGCTATTACAGAACTGTATAGCTTATTTATTAAAGGAAAAACGTTTATCCAACATTATGTTACGGTTTTTAGGATTAGGCATTTACACATACATAAATAAACTACGCGGGCAAAATCTCAAGAAAACACTAGTAATATATGTATATAATAATCATAAAAATATAATTTATCACATTCGATTGTAACACTTACACAGTGGCGCAATATTTATTAAACCATTAGTTGTTTCCAGAACTGGCGGTTGAGATTTCTTGTTGCCACTAGAGGCCGACGTCGAGAGGTTGATCAGCTGTGGCGGCAGCTTCAAGTGATTCATAAGGGAGGACACCAGGCCATGGTTGCTGCTGGGGCCGGCCTAGTAATTGTAATTGTAAATAAAATAAAATTTATAAAATAATTTCAAAATTCTTAATTTTTTTTTAAATTCATTTGTTTTTTTTTTGTTCTGAATTCTTAAATATAATCAACATTTTATATGTAGTTATCAAGAATTTTATGTAGTTATTAGTAGGCCCACCTGATGGCAAGCAGTAAATTTTTCGAGAGCCAGCTCGAGCCCTCCCGCTTCGATGAAAGCGGCGAGTATCTCCTGCTTTTCCAGCACTCGCACCACCAGGCACTGCATAGCTTGCGATAGTTTCACCATGTCGTCTCTTCCTAAAATTGCACAAACATTTTCTTAATACTAAAAGTCAAAAGTTTACTTAATTTTAATAATAAGTAAATTATCGTTTTAAATTAAGCTGGAAACTAATATTAAAAAATATGTTTCTTTATCAACATTATTCACCTAAAATATGTACAAATCTGAATATGTATTTCAGATTGTATAATATAAGCATACCGTATAATAAGTGGCTATTTGAAGAAGGAAGTAGCTTACTGAGGAAGGTCAGGAGGCTGGAGAGCATGGCGACGGGGCTGGCGGCCAGCGCGGGCAGCTGCGCCACCAGCCAGAACAACTCCTCCTTCAGCGACCACTGCTCACTGCCGCACTCGACCGGTGCACCTGTACGTACACACGTTAATTACAATCATGTCATACTAATATATAACTATATTCACACAACTAACATATTCTCTCACCTACATATGTATTTGTAAAGAATAATGTAATATAGTGTCTTAAATATGAGCATTATGATAGGTAGTTTATATTACCTGAACTCAACACTAGTGTGTTCATCCCATTACACATTGATAATGTTTCATAAAACTTGAACATGATGTCTGTTTGTTGTAATACTGAAAAATTAAATTCATAAAATAAGTATGATATTCTTAACATAACTATTTATTTGTAATACTATTTTATTAAGTAATCATTTTACAATAAGAATCTTACCGGCGTCAGCTAGACAAGGTGCCTTAGTGGCTTGTTGTTTTTTCTCATCTTCGAGATTTGTGCCGTCCTGCACTGCGCTGTTCTGTGCCTTACTCTCGTCTGTTTGCGACATGTCGCCGGAGCCGGGGCTCGTCGGGGGCTGCGCGTGAGACGCGTGGGGCACGTTGGGCACGTTGGGCGTGTCGGGCGGCAGCGGCAGCGAGAGCAGCTTGCGCGCGTAGTGCAGCAGGTGCTGCAGCAGCGCGCGGCGCACGGGCGCGCGGCGCGCCGAGCCCGCCAGCACGTCGGCCAGCAGCCCCGACAGCCGCGCCTCGCCACCCGCCGCGCCGCCGCCGCTCTCCGCGCGCCAGCCGCTGCTCTCGCGCACCCACCATCCGCTCTGCTCCGCTATACGAAAAATATTATATACATTATGTTTTGTTATTGTAAACAAAAATATATTGTTCAAAGATAAATTATTATACAAATATATATTATGTAATATTTAGATAAGTATGACTAAAACATGCTCGCTTGAAGTCCATTCTTATTTTACCTTAATTGTCAACAACTATAACAATGCGAAAGGATTCCACATTCGGAGATAAGAAAGAATCAGTCCTAAAATTGCCAATACAGATATCAGATATAAAATATAGAAGTATAAACTGACCAATGGACTTGAGTAGCGGCAGCGCGTGCGGCACGTGCGCGGGCGTGAGCGTGGGCAGCAGCGAGTGCGCGGCGCGCAGCAGCGCGGCGTGCAGGTCGAGCGCGGCGTGCGCGGCGGGCGGCGCGTGCGGCGCGCGCGCCCACAGCGCCGCCAGCGCGCGCAGCGCCGCCAGCGCACCCGCCGCGCCGCGCGCCTTCACCACGCGCGACAGCACCGCCTGCAGCGCCACCGCCGCGCCCGCGCCAGCGCCAATCGTCGCTCCGCCCTGTTTGATTTGTATTAATGTAAACTTATACAATTATACCAAACGTATTACGTTGTAATTATACATTTTGAGCTTTCCGCCTATCTAATGTCAATTCACGTAACTCACCAAGTAAGGCTCTGAGGATATGACGGCGCCGTCGGCAGTGACATCTATAGAAATAAACTTAACAAGCGCAGGCACGAAGTACTCGCACTCGAGGATCACGCGTCCCATAGTCTGTGATGTGCCTTCCGTCTGAAAAATATTGGTATGTTGACTTAAAACTTATATGCCATACCTACTATTGATACATAAAATTAATCTTGTTAAGTAATTTGTCGAAAAAAATCGAAAATATACTGATTGGATAAAAAAAACATTTACAAACATTCATAATAGTAACAGTTATTGAATTTGTAAATTCTTACCTGAAGAGGCAAACTCGCTACCCAAGCTAGAGCTTGCATAGATAACACCCAACATCTCAAAGATATATTTTCCAATCTGTAAATGACAAAATAAAGAAATAAAAAAAAATACCATGAAGATGGTCAAAAGCACAAAATTATCAAAATAAATGCTATGATGAATTTCGACATGAAAAAATAAAACAAAAAATGTCTTTCTAATTTTTCTTAGTATTTTGTTAATATTAACTTTGATGTTTCCTATTTTAATTTTGCATGCGGTGTTCATCACTGAGTTGCAGGATATACAATATGGGCTAAATGCATGTAATCATACCAACTTAAGATATAAAAAATGAAATAGTTGAAAAACGTGTCGATTCGTTTACATAAATAGAATAGCTACAGGTACTGACAGCGTGAGCGCGCGCAGCAGCGCGGTGACGGTGTCGGCGGCGAGGCGCACGCGCGGCGCGTCGGCCGGCACGCTGAGCGCGCTGGCCGCCCACGCGCCGCCGCTGGCCGACCCGTTCAGCGTCAGCCACAGCGACACCACGTTCTCTATCAGCGTGCCGTCCACCTGCGCATGTAAACTTAACTTTAGTGCAAAGTTTGGTTTTAAACATGAAACACTATTGCATCTATACAACAAATAGAGGTAAATTTTTATTTATAAGAGTTTAAAATTTAATTATAAAAAATTATAATAGCAGTTTTCAAAAATTATATGAATGTAAATTTTCAAAAATTATATGATTGTGAAAGGCTTCAAGCGAGACTCGATATGTGCACTCTAATAGCTACTGTACCTGGTGTTGAAACTCCAACGCCAGATGTCTAAACACATCGTACAGCGTGTGCGCGAGGGGCGGGTGGACGCGCGTTTCCTCGTGCGCGGCGGGGGCGGGGCCGGGGGCGGAGCCGGACGGGGACGAGGGGGCGGGGCCGGGCGCGGGGGCGGGCGGCGAGGCGGGGTCGGCGGCGTCGGGTGCGGCGCGACAGGGCGGCGCGCGCACGGCCAGCGGCAGCGCGGCGGCGGTGGCGGCCAGCACGCGCTGCGCGAACGCCTCGCCCGCGCCCGCCGCGCCGTTCTCAAGCCGCGCGTCCACGCACATCGATAAGCTAATAAATAATTTCAATATATTAATTTATTTAATATACATATTTATAATTATATGATACACTAACATATTATGTTCAAGCATACCAGTTGCTTCCATCTCCAACCGGCTTCGTTCTGGTTTCTTTTTTGACACCTTCGAAGAAGTACTGTGCAAGTTTCTCTTCTAGCTCTGAATCGTCAGATTCCGCTACTTGAGTCAGCTGACATTCCATGTCTTCGAAGAAACCTATACATAATAAGAACAATAAATATAACTAATCTGGACTTAATACAAATGGATCTTAGTGATAAGCGAGTATGGCTGAGTGGGTTTTAATCGGTAAATGATACAGATAAGCACGCACACAGCTGCAATCATATCTATCTACCAGTGAAAGCAGCGCGCTATGCCGAAGCGTGGCCTCTCATGGTTCGCATGGCGGAGCTACATAGTAATCGCATGGCTAGTTAGAGGGTGCTTACTTGCGGACACGAGAGCGGGCGGGGTATTTATTTTAGGCTTGGTGAAGTTAGCACTCTTCGCCAGCCCGAAACTGTCCGCTAAAACATCTGGAACGACAATGTTGAGATTACAGTCTGGCATGTTTTTATAATCTGTTATATTTGCTATCCAGAAACATCAGTGCAATTAATAAAAACGTATATTTTTAATTAATTTTGTGTCACAATTCAACGTTACTAATATTTGCCAGACTATACCGATTCGTCCACGGATTTCACTGATAGGTAGAAACAACCATACAACGAGACAAACAAAAATATAAAGTAGGAAAATCAAAATTTCCAATAAATTATTACTTACCTTATTGAAACGCGTATGATACGTATTTATTTTATAAATAAAACAAGAGTCTTATCTCTACTAATATAAATGTACAATATCTACGAAGTGCAAAATTTTAATTTATAACCGGTATTTCTAAACTACCGATTCTAATAATTGTTTTACTTATTCGATTGCTACATTATCCAAGACTACATGTAGTGCGAGTCGCGTACCTGCGACGGTGCCGAGCCGCTTGGGCGGGGTCTTACAGTAGCCGGGCTCGTCGTGGGCGGCGTGCGCGCGCGACGTGCTGGCGCCCCACTCCTCGCCCGGCGTGGCCGGCGGCTCGCCGCACTCGTGCTCCACTAGGTCCTACAATACAATACGAAACGTGTATATTGGGTATGCTTCATGTATTTTTTACAAAACTCTTATATTTTTATCTTCTACTACGTATTTGGATTTGCAATTGTATTATTTTTTTTTAATTTAACAAAATTAAATAATTATATGTATGAACAAACAATTGTATGATATGTATAGCTAGATATGAAACGGATATCCGGCCTATGCGGTCTGTTTTGTTATCTAGCCGGACACCGAATATATAAAAAGTACGATTTTTGCTTTAATAAATTGCAAGAACAAAATATATGTTAAGCAAATAATACAATATTGACATATAAATGTACCTATCTGATAAAAGGTACAATGCTGTAGTCTGTGCTGATAGGAATTACTTCGAGTTAACAGATCATCAATAATAAGTTATAAACTGATTGAGCAAGTAAACAATTGACTGTCGTTAATCATTAAGTTAAGATGACACCCAAAACATTAACATCCATCCGCCGGATATCCGGTATCCATCCAAACAAGTATCCGTATCATAACTAGTATGGATTAAAAAAGATATTTTTCTTAATTTCATAATTATATACAGGTACAAAAAATATTTATTTTGCAATTAATGATAACAAATTTCTAATACTCGTAGATCTATGATAATTGTATCATAGGATATACAATAACCTGATATAAATGTGAACTAACCTGCAATAGCGTGGTGATGGCGTGCCTGGGCCAAGGCGGCAGCGTGACGGCGAGGCGCGCCAGGCCCAGCACGCAGGCGGGCTCCAGCAGCGCCGCGCCGCCGCACAGCGCGCACAGCCGCCCCACCACCTGCACATAGCGATCAGATACAATCAAATGGATATCTTGTGTACACTCAATTACTAAATTTCATTATTTAAAACTATATAAATAAATATGTTGGGTAATACACAAAGCACCATCTAGTTCCATAGTAAGGCTACGAAGCTTGTGTTAAGGATACCAGATAGTTGATACATATATCTTTAAATACATTTAATTACATATTTTATAAATATAAACACCCATGACTGCAGTACAAACATTCGTGCTCATAACACAAATGAATGCCACCAGCGGGACACGAATTCGCGACCGCTGGCACAGCAAGTAAGGTCTTTACAAACTGAGCCAAACGTGTCGTAAAACTATATACTGCAATTTCAATGAGAGAACACCGTTTTTATTTTTATTCATTACAACCATATTTTCAAGCCACCGTAAGTTGATGACAATAAAACTATAGTGCCAAACAAACAAATAATTTATAACTTTTTTTCTATCCATAAATTTCCAGTAGCCCAGTGTTAAAAGATGCAAAACAATCTGTACATGTTGCACTTATTTCGTCTCCGTATTATAGTGTACCGGTGTATGTTTACACACTTGTTGCTACTCTGCAGTAAGTGTAGAGTACCTTAGCGCAGAGCAGCAGATGGTCTGCCAGCAGCGTGGAGTCCATGGCGAGCATGTGCGTGACGAGCGCGTGCGCCAGCGCGGCGCCCAGCGCGGGCGACAGCAGGCGTGAGGCGTCGTCGGCGCGCGGCGCGGGCGAGCGCGCGCCCGCTGCGCCCGCGCCCGCGCCCGACCCGGAGCCCCCGCGCTTCGACATCATCGCCACGCGCGCTTTGAGGCTCAGGCGAGCGCGCTGGGGATCATTTTTAATAAATATATTTTCAACTATTACGTCATAACTAATTTAATAATATTCATTTATAAAATGTAGATTGTAAGTTTATATATAGGGGATAACCCTTCTAACTACTATTCAGATCCTGAAAATTCTTTCACTAGTAGGAAGACATACCACCAAGTGTGATAGGCTATTTTAATTTCTATAAAAACATTTTATGTAATTAACATTTTGTACAAATATAGTACCGGTATGATGATATTTGTAAATTATGAGTTTAAGAGTGTATTCAGTTGGAAGAAAATCAATCTTTCAGGGTGCACCCGAGAGAAGTGAGGGTAAACTACTAATTACATGCATAAAAAATTATTTCGCAATCATTAAATTACAAACTTGTGGCGACATAAGAACGCACCTGCTGCTCCTCGAGCGCGACCTGTATGCCGCGGCGCGCCGCCTCCAGCTCCTGCATCTGGTGCAGCAGCTTCTTGTGCAGCTTGCGGCGGTGCAGTTTGCACTCCACTGCGCGCGGCGACGGCGTCGCGCTGTCAGCGGGGCTGCTCTTCGCGCGCCCGCCCGTCACCCAGTCCCATCTGAACAATGTCACATGAATAGTCATTTATTTAAATCCATCCCAAAGTTTTCTCTAGTGTATTCTTAGAATTTAAGTCATTGATTTCTAACTTTTGGTAATCATTGTGCATATCTATACAAAGCGAGGGCGTTACCTGTTGTTGGTCTTGTGGTGGGCGGCGGCGGCGACGGAGGAGGGCGCGGGCGCGGCCACGGCGGCGTCCAGCACAGAGGCGAGCGCGGTGAGCAGCGCGGCCAGCAGCGCGCTGTGTGGGCGCGCGGCGCGTAGCAGCTCCAGTGTGCGCGCGCACAGCGCCTGCGCCACGCCGCCCTCGCCGCCCGCGTGCGCGTACATGCTCTTGCGCGCCATGTACATCACTGCCACCAGGCATCTGCCGGAAATATGCAATACTCTCTTTTTTTTAATTTTCCATACTTAACAATATTTTTTATTTGTTTTCTTGGTTCATTTTTTCATTTGATATTTTGTTAGAAAAATTCAGTACTTTTTTTAACGTCCTACTACTGAGATCGAGTCTCGTTTTAAGCAAGACGGGTTTGGCCATAGTCCACTACACTGACCTAGTGTAGGTTACCAAACTTCACATGTCATTCAAAAACTAATTAAGGTACCTCCAAGATGGAGGTTTTTCACTATAAAGTATAACCTATACCGTTACGCAAGTGGCAATCACGGTGAAAATTATTCGCACATAAAACTATCACTAGACCCGGACTGAAGTTGGACCCGCTTCAGTTGACTTTTTACGCGAGTATATCATCAATGGGCTACAACGCCCTCAATTACTGTTCAACGTTGATATGTGTCATGAGACGTGGTACCTGTCGAGCGGCTGCGGCGGGTGGTCCTGCGGCGCAAAGGCGGCGGCCAGCGCGTCGGCCAGCAGCGCGCCCCACCAGCGCCGCGCGCCGCACACGCGCGCCAGCAGCGCGCCCGCGCCCGCCGCGCTCGCGCCGCCGCCCTCCCACGCCAGCGCCAGCACCGCGCGGCACCACTCCGCGCCCACCGGCGCGTACTGCTGCGGGGAGACAACGACACCATCGTTATACTATACTATAAAATATACCACGCTTCAGGCGATCGACCAGTGATTAACAGAAATGCTAAAAAATGCATAAAAAGTTGACAATAAATACTAACTTTAAGGATAGTTTCGAAACTAAAACACTGTAATGAAATCTCGTGACAAGTTACAACTGTCAACCTTAAAGCCATTTCCGAATTTTCATATAAAGCCTCAGTCGCACCACTTATAGTATAGTATAAAAACCAGAACCAGTACTATTACACCAAACACTATATGTATAAATTGATAATTATTATTCTATTAACACAAAAAGGAAAGATTAAATTAACACTCACTACATCGTTCACTTGGAAAAGGAAGTACAGCAGTAAATCGACAATATTATTTATGATCACTCGTAGCTTATCCGTCGACGCCCTCTCCAGCAGCGCGGTTGACGTCACCGTGCCTTTCTCTATAGCTTCTAACATTTTCTCATTAGCATCGGGGGCGTTCTGCAACCTCTTCAATATATTGGAGCAGTTGTGTAGCTGCTGCTGTAGCTCTATACACTCCTGGTACGCGGCAATTATTTTGGGATCCGAGTCGACCGTTTGGTTGAGGTACGACATCATGTGCGCCGCGTTACCGTTATAGAGGTCCAAGAACGGGTTTAATAAATCTATCAACTTGCCTGTGGCCAATCTGAGAACATAATAAGCTTGAATTAGAGATCAAGTACCGTTTCATTTCTTGGTGTTAGTATTTATTACTATTTAACTATCGAAAAGTCTTAAGGTTGGTCTTAAGGTTAGTCTTAGGGTTCATTTTTGTTTTTTTTGTTTGAGCGCACTAATCTCTAAAACTACCAGTTCGATTTAAAGCCTATTTATTGAAGACGGTTAACATCGCGTATACGCGAGCAGTAATAATTAGTAAAAAAGCTAGTAAAGTACAAAACTAAAGTATGAAAAGAAGAAACTAACTTAATATCTCTTACCGAAACCTACAGGACAGATCTTCATAAAGCGCTTTAAGCGCGTTAATGGAAGCTTGCACGTTAGCTATCTCTGCAATCTCGCCGTAGAACCAGCCGAGTGGTATTTTGCATTTCATCGCCGACATGCCGTAGCGTCCTATTGTTGTTATCTGTTTAAAATACAATCAATCATTTATTATTCCAGTAAATTCCAGAATTTTCTGGTGTGATTGGCTCCAATTAGATTGTATGCTATAAATAATTTATAATATCTTTCGTACTAAAAATTCGTAATAAATTCTACAAAAATCTCAATACAGCTCTATGGAAGTCAAATAAAAACACCATAATCCTAGGAGATTTTAACGCAAAAATAGGACAAACTACGTCAGACGACGGAAAAACTACAGGAAAATGGGGCTATGGTAGAAGAAATAACCGGGGTGAAATCTTAATACAGTTCTGCCTTGAACATCAGCTCTACATAGCTAACACATTCTTTAAGAAGAACTTGAAAAAAAGGTGGACTTGGGTATCACCTGACGGGGCTGTACACAACGAAATTGACTATGTCATAACAAGGGATATGAGAAAAATAAACAATATTCAAACTATTGATACAACTTTTAGCACAGACCATAGACTGTTAAGGATAGTGTGTAATTTAAAGTACAATGTGAAGAAGGACAGAAAATCATTTGGCCATAAGAAAGTTCAGCTCACCTGCATAGAAAAAGAAACGATCAAACGCAATTTTTCTGAAATACGGGAAAGATATAGTACGGAAGGTAAAAACACTGAACAAAAATATACAGATTTAACGTTACAAATTAAAGAAATTATCAACCAACTACCAAAAATTAAAGAAAAATCAGAAAATGAAATTATATTTAATGACTATGTAAGAGAACTAATTCAGGAAAAATTATACTTAAAATCTAAGAAGCACAGATCGAAGGAAGAAAGGAAAAGATTAACAAAACTCTATCGTAAAATAAAAGAAATAATAAAAAAGAAAAAATATCAACTAAAGTATAAAATTATTGAAGAAGAACTTAAAGATAGAGGCTCAGTCAAACGGTCAGAAAAACGTTTGTCGAAACATAGAGACTGGATTCCTTCACTGAAAGCACCCACAGGAGACAAAATAAGTAAAAGAACAGGATTACTTAAACTAGCGACCATGTACTACGAAAACCTCTACAAAAACTCTGACATAAGCCCAACTTGCATCGACAACAACATCGGTCACAAAGAATATATAGAAAATATCCCGGCTTTAACTCAAAGTGAAATAAGAACAGGTATAGAATCCTTAAAGTCGTCAAAGAGCCCAGGTCAAGATGGAATAACAAACGATAAATTAAAAGCCTTATCCGAGTCTATAGCCCCTATACTCACAAATCTCTTTAACGAAATTATGGAACAAAATAAGATACCTGAAGAGTGGGAAAATTCTATAATCACGCTGCTATATAAAAAAGGAGATCCTCTAGATATAGGCAACTATCGACCTATAAGCCTACTACAAAGCTTATATAAATTATTCACCAACATACTATTGCGAAGAACCAAAACAACTCTAGATTTCAACCAACCGAAAGAGCAAGCAGGATTCAGAAAAAATTATAGCACAGTTGATCATATTTTCACTCTAAACCAAATAATTGAACGGTCTACCGAATATAAAATAACACTCTACATTGCATTTATAGATTACGCCAAAGCATTCGACTCTATATCGCATGAATCACTCTGGAAAGCTCTCAAGTTCAACAATATAGAAGATAAATACATAGCGATCCTGAAGGAAATATATAAAAGAAGTACAGCTCAAATAAGACTCGATCAAGTAGGCGAGACCTTCAAAGTAAGGAGGGGAGTGAGGCAAGGAGACCCTATCTCACCAAACCTATTTACCGCTCTACTAGAATATATATTCTCAAAACTAAGTTGGGATGGCATGGGAATAAAAATAAATGGTGAGTACCTGAATCATCTTAGGTTTGCCGACGACATAGTTATCTTAAGCGACAACCATAATGACCTCTCACACATGCTCCAAACACTCAACGAAGAAAGCATAAAATGCGGGTTGAACATGAACAAAACTTATATAATGACTAACGCAAATGAGATCCACACTATGATCGAATCAAATAATATTAAATACGTAAAAGAATATGTTTACCTGGGTCAAAGTATATCATTTACTGACAATACAAAAAAAGAAGTAGAACGACGTATAAAACTGGCGTGGAGAAAGTACTGGTCTTTAAAACACATCTTTAAATCAAAACTACCACTAGCACTGAAAAAGAAAGCCATGGACTCTATAATTTTACCAACACTACTTTACGGCTGCCAAACATGGGCACTAACAAAAACTCTAATCCATAAGCTACAAATTTTCCAAAGGGCAGCTGAAAGAAGCATACTCGGAATTCATCTCAGAGATCGACAGCGTCAGTCGGAAATAAGAAAAAGAACAAAAGTGACAGATGCAGCTGAGGAAGCCTGTAGACTCAAATGGCGATGGGCTGGACATGCTGCCCGCGCGACCGACGGCCGGTGGAGCGAGCGAGTGCTACATTGGTGGCCGCGCGAGCAACGCCGGGGCCGCGGACGACCGCGCGCGCGCTGGAGAGACGACATCCAAGCTGTAGCCGGCGCCACCTGGACTAGAATCGCGACGAACAGACAAGAATGAAAGCGGATGGAGGAGGCCTATACCCGAAAATGGGTTCCCAAGATAGATAATAATAATAATATATAAATATTAATCACAAATACATCCCTATAAAAAAAAAAAAAAAAAAAATTAAAAAAAAATATATGATATGCTTATATAGATATATAAATAAAAAAAATTATAATAATAATAAAAAAAAACGAATTAAAAAAAATAATAAAAAAAAACAGAAAAAAAATACAATTAATAGTTTTTATAAAAGGAATGTTTTGTAAAAAAAAAAAAAAAATTTCATTTTATTATGTCAATAATAGCTATGATTCATAAGTATTATTCTATGTATTTGTAATTTCGTATGTAATGTAATTTTATTTAACTGTAATACTTAAAACTTATATAAAACTTTTCCTAGGTGTTGTTATCTTGGTGAATAAAGGCTTATTATTATTATATTATTATTATATCTTTCGTACTTCTTCTGAGTATTTTTCAATATATTTTTAGTATAACATATTATTATTATCTAATCCATCAATTAAATTTTTAATGTAACAAAAATTTCAAACTGTATTGTACATAATGAAATAATGATTTCGCATTTTAATATCGACACTACACACATGTACATCTCTTTGATTTTCATATAGAGAATAAAATTGCTTGTGGATGTGTGCGTGTGTGTGTCTGTGATATAGATTAAAACTTATATATTAATACGCAAAAGTGTGTAGAACCGACCAACCTTCATGTACCGGCAGAGTGGCGGCGGCTGTATGTCGGTGAGCACGAGGTGCTTGGTGGCGATGTCGGTGGCGAAGGCCAGCTTCACGCAGTCCGCCTCCTCGCCTGCCGTCCAGATGTCGATGCACAGCGTCACCAGGTCCGAGCACGACGGGATGATCTAATTATATTTGTAATACATATGAACATACCTTACGTTATATTACTTTCTTAGAATTATGCGACATTTTTTCCACGAATTGATTTTGAACCGGGATACCAAAAATCGAAATAAATCCGGAAAACAACGCCAGAAGATAGTTTTATTTAAACCTTCCATTTTTAATTATTTTATATAAATTAAATTATATTTATTTTTGTAAGACTTCAATTCAATCTTCCAATATTATTTTTATAGATGTAACTATAATAAACTAGTTCATCTATTGCCTATTAGGACTACAAATTACGCGTTACGTTCGGAACTTTTTAAGATATAATATTATACCAAAAGTACCACTTAATATCCCTGAAAATTGAATTTCCAAGAAATGTTAAATAAAACTATCTTTTCGGATTTTTTCGCGAATTTATTTTGATTTTTGGTTCCCGACGTTTCGAATGCTGGAAGATGGCTGGGTTCTACCATCGTCATGGGATCCTGTTATTAATATAATAAAATCAAATAATAAATATAAACATAACAGACAGGTAAATGTAGTAAGTTCTTACTGTGTAGATTAAAATGACAGCTTATCAGATTAATATTTTTCATTTTTCATTTGTAAAAGTATATAGTAATAATGTTGCTTAGTAAGTTGCTTTTAAATAATAGCAAACTAAATTAAAATTATTATCCTTAATTAATTTTAACTTGTTTTAAATTACACATAGAACAATTATATGGCTTAAATAATTAATACTGTATTTTATATTTTTTCTTTATGGTTATAAATATAATAATGGCAACACTAAATGTAGATTACTAATTGATATTTTAAAAATTGTAATAATTATAAAAATAATAGCAAAAATTAAATAAATAATATTCCATATTCAATTATAATTTAAGATTATAAAAATGTTTTAAAGTTAAAAAATATTGAAATGTAATTGGTGCAATTTTCATTTTGTTAAATGTGGGTGGGCTGTCTGTAACAACTATACCTTCAAGACATGTAACACCTCAGTCTCTCCCGTGACCATGGATGCTGTAAAGCATTCGAAACGTCGGGAACCAAAAATCAAAATAAATTCGCGAAAACATCCGAAAAGATAGTTTTATTTAAAATGTCAAGTATTCGCGTAAATCTAAGAAAGTATTTCCAAGAAATGATTTCCAAATTGAAATAAAAATATGAACAGAGGTGTACTGTAAGACTGACTGACCAGGTCGGTGAGGCGCACGAGGTGTCCGAAGTCGAGCACGATGTAGCGGCGCGCGCCCGAGTGCATGCGCTCCACCACCAGCGTGTGCTGCGGCGGCCGCGTCACCAGCGTCGCCCACGGGATACCGCACTGCTCGCCCTCCTGCGGCACATACACGTCATCTACTGTTTCCGACTTTATGGCATATCAATTTACATTTTACAAAAATATAACAATACATAATATTGGTAAAAAGTTTCATTTTATACACACAATACAAAATACTAAGAATTACACAATATTTACTTTATTATAAAAATAATATAAACTACTATAAAGTACACCCCAAAGACATAGTACAAGTGTTAATTTAATAAAAGAATACCTTAAAGAATTTCTCATCGGGGTAGTCTTGTTTGTCTTGAGGATCGCACTCCATCAGTGAATTCTCGACGATGTCGTCCAACGAATCAGGATCCTGAGACGACTGTTTCGCTTGTCCCTCTTTTACCACTGTCCATAACTGTCATAAAACCAAACATTACAAATACAACTATAATCTCTATGTTTACTGTAAACCTTTTGAAACGTCACATCGCATCGGTATAAAAATTAAACAATTGTTTCAAAATCCGAAACGATATTTTTTTTAAATACATAATTATGAAAGAAAAAGATTTATGATGTTAAAATGAAACAAAACATGTCGCAACCTGGTGCGGGTCGGCGGAGTGCGCGCTGACGACGGCGGGCGGGTGGCGCGCCGCCGCCGTCTCCAGCTTGGTGCCGTCCGAGGCCACGTGGCACGTCACGTGCAGCGGCGTGGCCTCGCCCAGCCCCGCGCCCACCGCCTCCAGCCCGCTCAACCCCCACCACGCGCCCGCGCCGTTGCTCTTGCCGCTCTCTGTTAACAAAGTCACTGCCGTTTTCACTTACAGTCGACCATTTGACATAACGAACGATCTTAACATTGCAATAGCCATACCCAAAATACACAGACTAGTACCTACGCGTATGATACCTCAACGTTCCGGCTATACCTGCACTGATAGACATGTTGACAAAGTCAATTTGATGTACTTATTATTTTTTGGTGTGCTCAAATTTTGGACACCATTTTTATACCTTTGAAAGACGGTAGGTCGAAGAGATCCCTCAATTGGACCGGTCGGGGCTCTGAGCGCGACCCGCGCGGCTCCGGCAAGGGCGGAGTCCAGCTCCTGTCCGGCGTCATCGTCTGCCCGTTCGCTGCCATCAATAGCGTTGCGTGAAAGACAATAGGACCAAGCCGAGCTACAATTATTACTAGAACGAGACCTCTATACCTGGTCCAAATTGAGACACTCCTTGAGATGGAAGAACTCTGGACTTCATATCAATGGCGTGGTATCCTAATATTGTTAGTCAATGAACACAGTAGCGTTTTAAAATTAATATTGTTAGTACAAAGCGAGCGATTTGCCTTAATCGTTTAGTAAGGTTAAAAATGAACGTGATCATAAAAATGTGCATCATTCAAATATTATCAAACATTATATAACATTTCTATAATACCTGTTCATGGACGTCCATCAATCGGCAGGTGTAACAAATGAGGGCTAATTACAATTGTAGCTATCAAGAATTGCTGAGACCTACAGCAGATACAGTCGTAAGGTACCTGGGGCATCAGTGGGCGGCAGATTGAGGAGGTCCTTCAGCTGGAAGTGCATGAGGTGGGGCGGCGGCGCGGGCGGCGCGGCGGGCGGCGCGTCGGGGGCCCAGGCGGCGGACGGCGGCGGCGCGCGCGCCAGCTCCGGCAGCTCCGCGCCGAAGCGGCTGCGCTCCAGCGGCAGCCCGTACAGACCGAACCTGCACCGAGGATAGCCTCGTTACAACTCACTCTCTCTCTCACTCTTCCTTTATTGTATTACTAGTACATTTTATTCTGAACAATAAAAAATATTATCGAGCTAGTATTACAAATACAAAAATTTAATAAAAAAATATAGATTTGTTGGTGTAAGCTCGCCGAAGTTGGAAGTAAACTATGTCCTGGAACACATAGGGTACCGACCTGGCCCTGAGCAGCTGGTGGTAGGGGTCGGCGCGCTCGCGCAGACAGCGCGCGGCGCGCTCCAGTAGCGCCAGGCCGCGCGCCACGAGCGCGGGCGCGGCGGCGCGCGGCGTGGCGTGCTGCGCCAGCGCCATCAACCACTTCAGCGCACCCGGCGACGAGCTGGCGCCCACCAGTGGGATGCACGCCATCACGCTGTTCGTCAGCGTTTGCTCGAACGTCGTCTTCCACGGCATAGGTAATTCCTTCACCCCTCTAAAAAAATTATGTTCATATAAATGACTAAGTTTTGTGGCCAAATTAAATACTTCTCTTACATTCGTTTAATTCCAGCCAATCATCGACATTATACAAAGTTTTTTGAACACAATATTGCGTGTACTTTTTGATATATGAATTATAACTAAAACATCTTTTTAAACAAATTAAAAATAATTAAAGAGCCATACTCACTCGCTTGTGATTAACATAATTTTGACACATTTTTTAGCAATACTTCTATTTGCGCACAGTATGCAATTTTTAATCAAAGCGTCTGTGTGTTTTTCTATCACCGCAACGCATTCTAGCTGTTGTGTTTCAATCGGACTTTGAGCATCTTTATCCTTACTTTTATCGGTCTTTGTAAATCGCATACGTTGCAGACGAACAGATATGACCCAATTTAAGAGGTCTAAAGCCAATTTTCGCTTTTCAATATCTCCTTTACTAATAGCTATTTCACATAGTGAGTTTAAGAAACCATTCGACTCTAACATAGCTATTCTCTGCTGCCTTCCCATTGGCATGTCTGAAAGAGGACACGAACGGACCGTAATAGAAATTTGATGTAACCAATCACAACCTATAAAACTGGATTTTTTCCCAGAGCTTTCACCGGATTTAATTGGACCTTTCGCCATATCTTTAGCGGGGTCAAACAATGTTTTAATGTGTATTAAGAATGTTCGTCCTCGAGCGCGATACAGTCGAGGACTTGTCAGTATTAATGTGCCAGACTGCTGTGTCGCGTCTAAACCAGAAGATAAGAAAAGTGGACCAGCTAAAATCTCAGCGTTATGCGCCTGGAGGTATTCTTCGCTATTGACAGGGTTCTCTAAGTTAGACATGTCAGCGTCCACCACTGGAAACCACACTGGTGAGTCTGCTCTTTGACCGAAAGTCGCATCTTTCTTATAACCGATTCCATGTAAGTTTTGTTTGAGCAACGTAACTTGTATTATTGGCAAATTTACAGAACTTGCCGAATGCAACGTAAAACCAAATTCTATGTGCGCCAAAGCAAAACAGTAAGGCAATGTCAGTTCTAGAACATGCTCGTCCCACGTCGAAGATGTATTTTGAAGTCGCCACGACCTGTTATTTTGATGGTCAGACCTTGACCTTTGAGCTGGTGACAATTCGCACCAAAATCCCGGTACAACAGCACTATATGGAACAGTAGTATTCATACCGTAAAAACCGATAAGATTCATAAGAGTTTCTAAATCGTTTTGATCTAGCTCAGGTTTGTTAGCTATAATAACTGGTGGAGTCGCGGGGAAACACACTTCGCCTCGCGTTATTTTTTGCAAAATTTCGTAATCTATATTAGCTAGCTCGTCCTCATTCACATCGCTACCGGAATCCTTTTCACCATTATTAAGCGCATAAAAGTAAATAACGCCGTCTTTAGTTGATAAGCTGAGACGTTCAACGGAAGCACAATATACGACCGATGTGAACTGGCCTTTGGGTACTTTCTTCTCTGCAAGTACTTTAAAGTCAGGCAGAGAATACACTCTCAGGTCACCGTCGAAGCCGACAGAAGCGAAGCAATACTGCTCGTGTTTATCCGCAGGCAAAAGACACAAATCTACGGGACTTTCGTTAAAGGGTAACTCTTTAAACGATACGGGATTATCCTCTAAAGTAAATATTGAGGTCTTGCTGTTAATTTTGTAGAGAATAAAATAAGCTTTTGCATCTAATTTGTCAGTCTTTTCTGTGTAGTCGGGAACCTCGTCAACATCCATCTTAGTGTCACTATCGCAGTCAGTACTTTCAGACTTCACTTTTTCAGGATCGATACTGGATATGACAACTAATAAGTGGTCCTTGTCTTCAGTCGGCAATAGATGAGTCACTCTGACGTCTTCGCGTTGGTTCAGCTTTGTTGGAAGACTTAAGCACTGTACAGCTATACCTTGTGTGATGGCCTCGTCCTGCGGAGGGTCACTGTCGAAACCATCATTATTGCTGCTGGTGACTGCGCCTTGACCATCTACTTTAATTCCGCCGAACGTCGTCACTTTAACCTTTTCTGTTCCATCGCCACCTTCGTACCACTTCAGGTCCGATATCTCCAAGGGACCATTCCCAGTCATGTTGAGATACTGCGTGATGGGATCCCCATGCACGGCATCTGTTTGGTCGACCAACTTAGTACCTACAGATTCTAAATGCTCATTTTTCCAACTTTTCAGCTGTGAAATTTTGCCTACGAAATCTAACACACTGCCTTGTCCAGATTCCGGTATTTCTGGTAAAAGCGCCGTCGGCGGCGGCGGAGGTAATACTTTGTAGTTTTTAGTGAATACTATTTTTTTCGGCTCCCATACTTTACATTCCTCTTTACTGGATGAGGCATTTAAATTAATAATGTTACTAATTTGTTCATCTATGCACTTTAAACTATTGGCGAACTGTGGAAGCTCTGTGTCTTCATCTGAATACTGCAGATACAAGTCATCATAAGCGGGTCGAGTGACCAGGCAAACCTTTTTACTGCCACCAGGCTTAGAATTCCCGCTACTGTCTGAAGTATGAACTACTGTCGTGATGGAGCCGGCCAGGGAGCTATGAATATCATATGTTAATAGAAACAGCATTTTATTTGATGATACGAGGTGATTCTTGGCCTCATTCTGATCGTTCATAGCTTGTATACTCTCTTTAGTTCTATCTACATCACCTGAATCAAAGAGAGCTTTACTTGAGTCCTCTTTGATGGGTTCATTAGTGGGGGCAGTGTTGGTTCGCGTTATAGTGACTGCGCAGATGAGAGAGGGTTTGGGTTTATTAGTGCTTTGCTCTTTTTCTGTGCTGTCTGAACATTGTGTTTGTGGGAAAATTTCTTGTTTTGAGATCATTCCGACGAACGCCATAGCCGTTAACTCGATGCCATAGGTGGCTAAAAAGACAGAAAAAAAGTTAAAACAATGTTAAAATAGATAAAAATAAGAATAACTGTCACATAAATACTTACAAGTGTCCTTTTCTAAGCTTGTGGACCAGACTTTATTGCAATCTGTAGTTAGAATTCCACTAAAAATAGAATCATATGGTGAAAGGTGTATGAACTTGACAAGTTTTAGTCCACACTCAAATTTCCAGATGTTAACCTTCCCTTCCACTGTACCCGTAGCTATTAAGTCACCGGTATTGCCCTTTGAAACTATCTTGACATTTGGAGATGAAACTGCGCAGGCTGTAGCATTTGTGACCTACAAAATTATTAATAATAAATTGTTTGGATTACTTAATCTGTACCTTTTAACATTTACATATTAATACAATTTATCTGCAAATTTATATATAAATGAGAACTAGAAGAAATAGACAATAAAAATGGCTATACAAAGATATTATTTCTCCACTACATTACATATTATTAATAGGGTAATAATAATATTTTTTTAAGAATTATTTACAAAAATAAAAGACCCGACTGTGTAAAAAGCGTACTAAAAGGATGAAAACATGTTGACGAATGAACATATTATTATACATTATATCTCCGACTGCCTAATAACATGTTGCTTCATCAACTTATTTTATAAGTTCTATATGTCAAGAATTTACACATAGTGAAAAAATATTTAAATTCTTTGACAAGTTGATTATAATCAGTAAATATATTTATTCATTGAGGATAATAATGAAGTATGCTTTAATAATTACATTATGTATTAATAATTACATTATATATTTGAATAAAACATGTGAATAGCGCATTTAAATTTAAAACAATAATAAGATGAATTTCTCGAAAAATGTTAGAAGATACTGGCACTTCGCCGTCGATATATTTTTGTAATTAAATAATGTATTTACAAAACCCTTTATTTTGATACCCCAGGTCGATAGGTTTTGAAGAAAATAAAAATTTAAAACCATAATATGGTGCCAGAAATTGGCCATTCTTATTTTTATAATTTTGATATACCCAGTACAATAAATATACTAACAATTAAGATGAATCTAACGACACTTCTCAAGCTAAAATCCATCAGCCGTTTAGGCTATAGAGCATGCCAAAGAAATATACATACATACATTCATTCGAAAAACATAACCCTCCTTCTGACGCAGTCGGGTAAAAACAAGTTCAATGGAAATGTAGGCAAAGGCAAGTGTTGCGTAGTTTTGCGTGGTGTCATACCGATATGGGGACGTTGTGCGTGTACTCGCCGCGCACGAAGGGGCAGTTGGGCGAGTGGCGCTCGTGCTCCACCCAGGGCTCATCCGACTTCTCCCAGCACACGAGGCACACCATGCACGTGAAGCACATGGCGCGGTCGTCACCGCTGGGCGACGGCTGGTGGTAGAAGCCCGCCTGCGCCATGCGCGCCGGCAGCGCCCATCTATGTAACACATTGTTATAATAATGCTCTACCATACAAATACAATTTTCTGCAGAAAAAACAAGTGAGATACGATAGTTTTTGTTTTATACTAGCAACTTAAGCTCGCTTCACTCGGGTGCGTCAAAAGGTGCCTCACAGGAGTCTATGAGTTATTCTATGTCATAGTCTCATATTAGCCAAGATAGTCTATCAAAATTTCATATAAATACATCCAACCATTTCAGCATTTAGAACAAACATACACACACACACACATAAAAACTTTCAATTTTATAATAGTAGTTCAATATCATGAAAACTTATTATGTATTTTATTGGCATTATTATGTATAAAAATATTTGACAAATCAACAAATATGGGTTAACTTATTAAGTTAAATCTTAATTAACTGATTAAAACAAATAATACAATAGTTTGTTATCTTAATTTATACTACTTGATATGAATAGGAGTCATTAATATTTTAATAGTTACAAATGAAGGAATTCACACATGATGCGGCATGAATATGGTTGTAGAGTATTATATTAAAAAAATCATAAAGAACAAAATACTATACTAACTTGTAGTCCATATGTGGCCACCTCTTGAAAGTTTCCTTTCTTTCTGCCTCTGAGTACATTAGAGCTCGTGATTCTTCATCCCTTGTACAGGACATGAGCTCATTAGCCCTTTGCCCAACAGCAGAGGCGATGGCCAGGGCTGGAACTCTTCTGTTCTGGCCCTTCAGTTCTTGTACTACACCAGTCATTACAAGCCGCAGTGTTGATTGTGGGAGTGTAATAGTTACAGTACTCCACTGGAAAAAAGTTAATTTTTCATACAATATATGCAAAAAAATATTGAGACTTAAGATAAATTAAGCTAAGAATATGTAAATCATGGAAAATGAATGAAAAAATGAATTATATAAAGGTGCATTCCTTACTTTTTGAGCTTTGACTCCTTTTCTGACTGGTTCTGAATCTATAGCATTCTTGAGTTCATTGATGAAATCTGCCAGCCCCTCTATTGAATGTGCGTCTAAGCTTTGAACACACTGGTAGAGAAGCACAGCCTAAAAAATATTTTTTTTTTAAGAAAAACATTCCTTAGCGTACATGTCATATAATGGAAATATTGCCAAAATTATTTAAATTCGAATAGGAGACAAAACAAATACACAGTGTTTATAATCTATACATATCTGACTAATTAATACATAATAATCTTATAATGGATAAATACATTTAAATGACACTTCTATATTATAAACTAGCGACCCCTTGTTTGGCTTTGGTTCACCTTTAGAAAAATAACAAATCTGTCCCACAGGAACCATACATTTTTCCAGGATAAAAAGTGGCCTATGTGTTATTCTAATGTATGCACTATATTATTGTAAGTTTTCATTAAAATTCATTCAGTAGTTTTTGAGTGAAAGAGTAACAAACATCCATACATCTATACATTCAGACAACCATACACCCTCACAAACTTTGGTATTTACAACATTTTTATTTTATATTATATATATATATATATATATATATATACATATATATAGTAAAAAGTAGCAGATTAAAATAGTAAAATAATATGGAATTGTCATTATTAGAATTATTATACTAATTTTGAATATTTGCCTTTTATGCATAATCAATTATTATTCGAAGTACCTATCTAGATTTAATTTTCTTATATTACTTCTTATGTATCATTTCCTGAACAGATTAATTTATAGAAGGTGCAATATTTACTAACATTATTCAATTACTTGCAATTATAATCAACATCATGAATCATAATCATTGTCTACCTTTCAAGTTAAGTCTACATAAATTATATTTTTTTTATTTTGATATGATTTACATAGGTTACCATCTTGTCAATAACAGCAAGTAATAACGATCTATACAGATAAATAAAATTGAAGTGTCTGTTTGTAATGTCAAAATAAAAGCTTTTCACTAAATGCATGTGGAATTATTTATGGTATTTATATGAAAAACACAATTTTAATTTTTTTTCTTTTTCATTTTCCGATTTCGAGACGTTCCGATGGGACTTTCACGGGAATTAGGGTTCCGCACAAAAAAATTAAAATGGACCTAAGGACGAACCCGAGCGAAGTGAGGGTGAGTCGATAGTATTGAATAAAGACACAGAGAAATGAAATGAAAAAAAAATCATATTCTTCAAGTACACCTTAGGCACTCACTGGTAATGAAATATCTTCCAAATTAGATAATTTTACAAATAGATTAAGATCAATGCTTAATCTCCAACGGGTCTTCTCCTTTGTACACAACATTGGTGAAGTAAACTGTGCCCAAATAGGCATGTCTATAAATAAGCCACAGAACAAAGAATTGAATTGAATTGAAAATAGACAATCTAAATCCAAAAAGTAATCATTTGCTAGCTAAGACAACAAAAATAAATAGTCACATAATACTATATTATGCAATGCAATCAAACATTATCCTTGCACAATTATTTGCAAATATGTAACATACTTAGTACTTAAAAAAACTATTAAATTCTAATGAACAAAATTAATCATTCCCACATAATACTTATAGCTAATGAATATCATAATAATGATCAGAATTATGTTTGTCACAATATATTAACAGGCTAATTAACTATATATACCACAATAATTAAAAATAAAAGATAAATACAATAGTTGTGAAAATAAAATAGTTATTATGAATTTGTAAGTAGGTTTAGCATAAACCTTCAAAATAATCAATTATAAGAAGATTTGGAATTTACCTCAGATAAGACAAGTTCAATTCTGACTTGACTATCTGGCTGTGATGAAAATAGGGGCCGTTGTAAGGCCGTGTGAAGGAGGAGCACTCCATTATAGTCAGTTCGTGCGCCGATTCCACTGTTATCCCAAACGAACACTCTGTCGGCTCCCGGCGCATATTCAACTCCCAAAGTGCCACCATCATCTAAAATCAAAACGAAACGTAATTAAATAAAACCTACCGGTATTTGGCGATAAGCAACAATTCAATATAATCGGAATTGTTTACTGAGAGCTGTCAAACGAAGACAATGTAGGGCACAAAAAATTGGTATAGTTATTCATAGCACTCTACAAATGGCATTATAGCAGATTATTAGGGATTAATAACAACGATGTTAAAATAATATCCTAAAAATGTAAAGGTATTCTGAACTTACCCGCTGATAGACAAGAGGACTGAAGAATCACACCAGAGTTAACATCCAAAACGTGAACACGGCCTTCATCAGTCTTCACTAATATAATATTTAAATTACTGTGATAAGTCAGTGAAGTAACAGGAAAGATCATACGTATATAACCATCTTCTCGTAATATCAAAGAATCATCGCCCATCGTGGCCGTGAACACATCTGTCTATTCTACGTAAACGCCATTTGTAATTATATTTTTTTATGTCAAATATTTTTACTCAAAGTGACCAGACTTAAATTTTATTCAAAAGACAAAATCAATTATGACCATAAACAACGATAAAATATTTTTTGTAAATTTATTTATTTCATTTTATTTTTTATAGGTTTTTATAGGTTAATTGCATTTTCTGAGTAAATTTTTCATATAATGTAAAATTGTTTTTTACACCATCAGAAAGTAGACATTTCAATGAACACTTTTTTAAAAAAGCAGCTATTTTTACGCGAGAATTTTCGATTGAAAATTAGGGTACTTTTTCAATATTAAGTCAAAATAAGGTGTGTTTCACCTAATTAACATTTTAAATAAAAAAAAAACAGTATTTTTGGGACATAAAAAACTTACCTTAAGTCTTGACCAAATTTCGTGAAAAGCATTTTTTTTGTAAAAGATAAAAATAAATGACCAAAATCTTGGTTATTTGAATTTTTCACATCAATTTTGTAGTTATGTTAAAAAAGTGTAAATACAAAAGGTGTAGATCTTTTTATTACCTACAACTTTGCTTTTCAACTTTTTTCCATAGGACTTGTGGTTTTGCCGGAAATCGAGATAAACTAACCTTTAAAAACTCACCCTTTCCCCTTCCCGACCTCAGATCGGCCGTAAATTATTTTTCCTTTAATTTTTGTTATATTCTCTTCTTTTTCCTATGGGTTTCATCCTACTATTTATCTCTTTTTTCACTTTTTACCATTTTCAAAGGCTTCAGCCCTGGTCTATATGGTTATCAAATGAAAGGGTTTGCTGAGAAGAATACAAAAAAAGTAAGAAACATTAAAAAAAGTTAACATTTAAAAAAACAAGCTTTTATTTAAATGCTCCAAAAAACAAAGAAGTATAACGTCTTACGTGAGTACATAATATATACATACACAACTTTTTTCCAATAAATATTTCTTGGGTTTTTTTTTATTAAATTGACATAACTTTTTATCTATGAACCGATTGAAATAAAACAAAATACTAAATGTTAAGTGAAGCTTACCATAAAATACATTCGTGAAAACCGCATACAAATCAGTTAAGGCGTTTCTGAGATTAGTGCGCACAAACGCACAGACAAACAGGCAAACATTCTAAAAATCATTGTTTTGGGTTCTATCGCGTTTAAAAAAAACCAATAATAGTTTTTTTCAAATATCTCCCATGTACAGACGGAGATCAGTTACAATTTATTATAATTAGTAAGTAAATGAGGGTTAGTCTTAGTTTGTTGTTTTGTTCGCGAATTATCCGATTCAGAACTTGATGACGATGAGTGAGACGAGGATAAGTTAGATGAACTAGAAGATGAACCAAAAGATGAATTTAAGAGTGATGAAGACTGACGAGCACAATGGTCTTCATGTTTATTTTCTGCCTCCGTAGAGTCATTTTCTTATTCTCATTGTCAGACATGGTAATGTCACTAACATAATAAGGCACCAGACTTTTATTAAGCTGTGTGGTCAATAAAGACTCATGGCCGATTTCACCAACGTCACCTAAGTTTAAGGGATCCCCTAAGCATGTATAGGGGGCTGTTAGGGGACAGTTTCTGTTTCACCGACAGTTAGGGGGTCACCTAACAATTAAAAAAATAATTAAAATGCCACCTAAATATAGATACTAGAAATACGGGCTCTGACGATGGTAAACGAAATTTAATTTAGGGGCTAGTTTAAGGGAACTTTTAAGCTAGGGATCCCATACGTATGTAGGTGGTAGCTTAAATGATGTTGGTGAAATCAGGCATCAATAAACTTATTCCAGACGTTATTTTTATGATAGTTATTATTTTTGTAGGTTAATATTATCCTGATTGATGAATCCTTTTAGTATCGATCGATATTACTTTCCCTCCCTAGGTGATAATATCGATACCACTTTCAACATCACTAAAATATGCCCCTGCCCCCGACCCGTATAGTGCTAGAGAGAGAGAGAGTTGCAAGTTTTAGAGGCAATTTCTCACATTTCCTTTTTGAAATATTGTTTCGGGCGATAACGTTTTCACCCCCCTAAACATTTACCAAATGAAACAATTTTGGTCTCATTAGATCAGTATACCTCAATCTAGGTCTGTATGTTTTTCTTTTTTTGTAATTCAGTTTAGTTTAATTAAAAAAAATAAAAAAGCTGGAGGAAGTATTTAAGTCAAAAATATTGATATATAGATGCTAATAACTTCTATCGTACGCAATATTTCTTTAAAATAAAAACGTACAGACCTAGATTTTCATTATATCTACAACGTTTGCAAAAATTATGAAAATTAGACTATGTTTAATAGTGGAAAAACGTTATCGCTTTTTTCACAATCCTGTTAAGAATTACTTTAGTAAGACGTTTACTAATCTCATTTGTATAACAATTAACATGTTTTTTTATTATCCTGTTAGATCATAATCGATTCGACTCAGTTATCGATATTGATAAATAAGCCTCGTCCATCACTAGTGAGTTGTCACTAATATTGTTAACTTTGACATGTGTTTCAAAGATCCAATGAAAAATAGCCGACCTCCCCCTGCACCCCGCCACGTTTTGGCGATTTTGTTTTCGTATTCAAATTAATGAAAGCCGAGTCTTTTGGTTGTAATGTCTGTGGTTCATATTAATATCCAGAGGATGTATAACTGACCGGAATATGAATTTTTGTTCGTTGTCCACATCACGTGGAGTGCCATGCATATGCATAATAATATAAATCTAAAAATAAAGCAGTTTTTCAAATAGAGGTAAAAACCTCTTTATTGTAAAGTACAAGTATTGGCAATTTGAAGAAATAAGCACTAAGGCGATGTGTCACTGAGATTCAGGAATAATCACAACATACATACATATAAACATTTTTTTGGAAGCATCAATAAAACTTTAAAATATTATATAGAAATAATTTATTAAATCTGTCTCAGTTTATATTATAATTTATTATACTCATAATTAAATACAAACAATCTTTTAAAGAGAAAAATTACTAACAATATCATTATTATATCTATTCAAGTACTCATAAAATATAAAAATGGACGGAATTTTTCCATAAAAATAAACTTTTAAATTAAGGACAGTCATTTATATAAAATAAATATACAGCTAAATTAAAAATAAATTAAATGTCCATAATATATTTATAAAAATAACATCATAATTTATTTAGACAATTCATGAGTGTGAGTAGAGCATTTGTGCGTGTATGCTAGTGGCAAATTCTATTCTCATAAATACTAAGTAATAAATCCATTGGAATTTAAAGTATAATTTTATGTTTACAATAAATTAGAACTTTTATAATAAAATTATCTTTTCGGATTTTTTTCGCAGATTTATTTTGATTTTTGGAAAATACTAAGGTTTTAGATGTGTCAAAGGTCATATATACAATCAAAATAAGCCCGCGAAAAGAAACGATTTAAAATGTCAAATATTCGCTTAAATTTTAGTATATATAAAATTAGAACTCCCAAGTATCGAGCCACCTGAGGCCCGCCATAGTGGAGTTGGGTTCGTGCGCCAGCGGGCCACTCATGCCGTAGGCCAGCGGGGAGAACAGGCAGAAGCTGTAGGCCGCACCCGAGGCCGCGAGCCCCAGCGCGCCCTGGTACACGGCGCTCCCCAGCTCGCGGCTCAGGTAGCTCTGGATGCTGCGCAGGAGGTATACCGTGAGGATACCTACAACATGCAAGTAATGTTTAGAATCACTAAATGTTAAAGTTACTTGTTGATTCTTAAAATTTTAATTCCTTTATTTAACACACTTCAACCTTTGAATTTCTACGTTTATTAAGACTACAAATGGGTGCGTCGATGGGTGCCTAACTGTAACTAAGTGTTACTTCCGGTCTTAGCGTTTCAGCCAGGCGCAAAGCCAAGATACGCACAGGGAGGTAGCCCAACTCGGTGGGCGGTGTACTTGTATGTTGTTGTGGTCTGCTTCGGCAGACCTATCGCTGGAGCGTAGTGGTTGAGTGCGTAAGCGATCCTGCGACGCCCCATCAAGACAGGGAAGGTTTCGTTGGGTTTTATTGGGTAGTACTGGCGTTTCTTGCCGGTAAGTCCCACATAACCTGTATTTCTACAGGTGGCACGCGTAAATACATTGTCCAGCATCAAAAAAAGAACTTAGTTTATTTCTGTACTAAATTTCATAAAAATCGTTCTAACCGTTTTAATGTTTCATGTAAAGGAATAACTGAACACATGTATAAAAACTTACGTATTTGAAACACGCCAAAGAACTTATAAGTACAATATGTGCGAAAGGCATACAATGTGTATTTGATTGAAGAAGGTTGATGTTTAATTAAAAAGCGTAACCTCCCCCGTGACCATGTCTTGCTGCAAAGTATTCGAAACGTTGGGAACCAAAAAGCATTAAAAAAAACAAATCTACGAAAAAGTCTTTAAGTATAGTTTTTTTTTAAATATCGCAAATATTTTAAATCTAAGTATTACAGTGCGCTTACCAGTGAGCATGGAGCTGAAGACGAGGGCGGGGAAGTAGTGGTGGAAGTACAGCACGCGGCCCATCGCCCAGAAGGGCACGTAGTGCAACGCCCAGCCCGCGCCGCACCAGCCCGCCGCGTTCAGCAGCGGCGCGAGCGAGCCCTCTGAAATACCGTTAATTATAATACTTTACTCGCGGCAAGTACTTCTTCGATGCCTGACTATCTATATGTTACTACAAGTCATACTTTTATGTAGTCATCCACATCCATTCAGCCGTTTTAACGGGAAGAAGTTACATACACGCACACACAGGCACACACGCACGCACGCACGCACGCTCCCCATAGAGATAGTCAGTGTAGTCTACTGTGACGAAGCTACTACCAGTTGAAAAACAATTTTACTGAGAAGAGTACAAAAGAAACAATTCAATTGAACAACCATTAGGCATAGATAATATATAAAAACAACGCGTCTGTCTGTTGCTGTTGGAAAAAACGACAGAGCATTTCTTAGAATACCAATAAATATACAATAAGTAATGAGGTTCTTACCTTGAGTAGGTCTTCCAAAAGCTTGCGCACGTTTTTCTCTAATAGAATTAACTACGAACACCACCAAAAATATGACGAGGAAGGCGAGGTTCGCCCACCACACCACGGGGTTGCCCAGCAGGTAGATCCTGTGGGCGCTGCCCGAAAAGAACTGACCCTGAAAAAAAGAACAAAAAATAATAATAATTTTTTACTAGTTCTTATTCTTATTATTTCCTTTGTTTCTTTCCACGGTCTTGGACAGCCCCATCTATTGACGAGTTCAGGACTTAAACATTGTTAAAATAAAAAATAATTAAAGTATACACATATAGCTATGTACATTACTTTGAAATACATTAACAATTTGTGTATGACCTGCTGATATCCAATTGCAATAATAAATTTTGAGATTTATAACATCAATTACAAATTACAATTACACCTTACATGTACATAATATTTGATAGAGCCAACGACCACACAGCCCGATAGACGCCTAATTTATGTACTTCTGCATCCAAACCTTTCAGTCAAAAGTCTGAGGTAAGCTTTACGGGGGAGGCGGGTTGAAATGCACGCTGATTGGTTAATTCAATACAAATAGTGATGGGAACCAGAAGTTTTATATGGAATCGTAGGTAGGTATCGTATTTAGTAAAATAATTTTCTGTTTTAAAGAATATTTTTAATTAAGACAAGTTTTCTTTACTATAATGAAATAATAATAGAATACTTAATATTATTTATATAGATTTATTCAAGGTTTATTTACAGTTATATCCATGATGAAAGTTTTCGGAAAACTGAGACACACTCTGTATAACTAAAGTACTACTTATTTACATGAACTCATTATTTATAAAAAAAAATACATTAGGTACTTATTACAATTATTTATTCTTTACATTTAGTGTATATAAATATTCATGAATTAAAAGTACAAAAATTAAAAAAAACTGATAATTATTATTATAGATAAATGTCATAATACAAAAGAAATAGATAATAATACATAATAATAAGAAGTAAAATTAAAATCATCATTATAAACAAAAAAAATTACAATAATTAAGATTAACAATCATGCATTTTATAATAATTAAATAACTTATTTCGACAAATTTTATAGTTTAACTGGTACAACACTAGTTACACGTGCCGGTAATTAAAGAAAAGTATAGCAACAATGAACTGCTTGAAAAGAAAGGGATGCATAGTCCGAGAATGTCCGAATACATCAACGCGAGTTGCGTTGCGACCAATATAACTTGAGCTCTGATTTAATTACATTTAATGAATTTGGAAATTAAAATTCACTTACCCATGAAAAGTGATGCCATTTTTTTTAAATTACATGTTTGGCTACTATTTCCATACCATTTTATTGTACAGGGAGTCATGTTGCGAGTCTGTTGTATTTTTTGTGTCGGAGATTCACAAGTATCAAGCAATATGTTCGCGGGTCACGGATGTGGTCGCTACTGAAGTACATCGCGCGATCGTTTTCTCAAGTCCGACGTATTTGTCTAACGTGTTGACTGAAAGTGTTCGCCTAGCGTGAGGTGTCTATTGGGCTGAGTGGTCGTTGGATAGAGCAGAACGAATTAAATAAGCAGCAAACTAGTAAGCATTATCGATCAATTTACTTTGTTCATTTAACTGGCATAACATTAGTAAGATGGTAACGGAGTCATATATGCACATATATAATTATCTATCGATAGATTTTTTTGTAGTTTTAGTCCATTTATAAACAATAAAAGACATATATATCTGTATGCAGACACACATACTTTCCTTCTTAAACACTAATTCTTGAAACAGTCTCATTGTCAATTCATCTCAATCTTTCTTTGTTTTTTCAAATCCAACCATCCACATAAAAATAAAGAAAACGGATGAACAACAGGCAACATATACTCGTAGCTAGACGACTAACCCTGTAGTTGATGGGCCACTGCCAGGGTTGCGAGGTGACTTCGCCCTCCTTGGGCTTGAGGCCGGCGTTGCCCTGCAGCATCACGGCGTGCGACTCCACCAGCCGCTCCCAGAACCCTGACGCGTACGCTTCGAAGCTAACTTTGGGCACTTAAACAATGTAAATTATAGATTTACCTAATCCCATTATTTAATCTTATAAATGCGAAAGTTTGAATGGATGGATGTTTGTTACTCAATCATACCAGAACTGCTGAACGGAACTGAATGAAATTTGGCATAGTGATAGATTATAGTCTGGAATAGCACGTATATTACTTTTTATCCCGAAAAAATTTACGGTTCCGTGGGATAGATTTTTTTATCTAGAGACGAACCCGAAGCGAGGCTGAGTCGCTTGTATATTTTATTGTACAATATTTATCTACAAGCTGACCCTAGACGTTATCCAGTCAAAATTTTAATGAATTCGTTCGTAATCTTTAACTTCACATACTGCCACCCATGCTCTACCACTGTCCATAATTGCAGTATAGCTAAAAGGAGCCGGCATCACCATTAGCATCCTTATATTGTCCCTATAGTCGGTTTTGACTCGACTCCTACCATATCTTTATCTACTTGAATGTAAGTACTATAATATGTGGACTAACGATCACTTATATACTATAACACACGTATTTTTGAGATCTTCAAAGTATGATAGGTAATAAGAAGAGGCTATAAGGTACAAGCTAGCAAGCACTAACAGCAAACTATACACAAAAAAAACAGTTATAGCAAATATATTAAAAATCTACTGACGTTTATCGAAAATATTATCCTCCACGTTCCAGAGCGCGTTTTTATCCCTTAAATTAGGATTACACGCGACTTCTTGCTGTTCAAAGCCCCACTTGGGCAGTTGTTTGCCGGTCGTTGTCAGAGCGCACGCCTGTACATATTAAAAGTTTATAAATAATCTTAGATTTTTTTACATTTAAATATTCTAAATCCTATATTGTTTCAAGTTCAGGTAGATTCTAAATTAATTATCCCATTTAAGTTTGCGTATCTTGTATATATTATGTAACTTAGTAAAAATATATGAATAAATTATTATTAAAAAAGAAAAATAAATAAGATGAGCATAACGTCAAGGTATAAGTGATAATCCATTTAACCGTGTATTATTGCCCCGCAATGTGTATTCTCTTTGTCATGGTGGGGGGCTCAGTAGCGACCAGCAACCCGGCAAAGCCAAGAGATACGCTCGGTAGGTTGCTGGTACTTCTTTAATAGCAGAGTGGTCTATGCCAACAACCCCCCGGTTATTGATGTCTACCTCGGTAGGCAGTCGTCGGGTCGTCGTGGTTGTGTGCGTTACAGGATCGCTTTATCCTACCGCGCCCTATAAAGACGGGAAACTTTCCGTTGGGTTTTAGCGGGTAATACTGGTTTTTAGCCAGTGGGTCACCACAAAACTGTACGTTGTAAAGGCTATATGCGTATAAGCATTGCTCAACGTTAAACAAAATGCCAAAGCTGACCTGCAAGTAGTGCACAAACATGAGCTTGCTGCGCACGGTAAGCACCTCGTCGCCGTCCTGGCCGCCCGACACCACCACCTTCCACACGTCGTTGGCGTCGCCCACGCCGTCCTGCCGGAATATGTGTTCTTAGTACTTAATGGGCATGTGGAGTATCTTCCCTTATATAATACAAGCGATTCACCCTCGCTCCGCTCAGGTTAGTCCCTACTTACGCTTTAAGGTTTAGTATAGATTTCTTAAAGATATTTTCCCGCAGTAAAAGGTATCCTATATGTTGACTAGGATAACCAGCTATCATTATATCGAATTTCATCAAAATCTGTCCAGTGGTTTTACCGTAATGCGGTCACAGACAGACACACAGACAGAAATCGTTCGGCCTCTGTATCGATAACAATGACTATTTCAATACGATTTTCCAAAAAATATTTAATGTGCAGATTCGGCTTAGTTAGAATTTATGTATAGATTATTATCCACTCACGTCATGTTTCATGTAATTCTGATCATAAATATTTTTTTATTGTATTATAACGTGTTTTTCCGTGGGCAAGACATAATTCCCTGCGGTAAAAAGTAGCCTATGTCACTCTCCAGCCCTCCAACTATCTCCACACAAAAAACCAATCCGCCAAGCCATTTCGACGTGAAAGAAAGACAAACAAACACACTTTCAAGTTCAAGCAATAGTCTTCCGCAATAAACAGGCATAATGCGAAAAGAATTTTTCAACTCATCAGTAGTTCCCGAGATTAATGCATTCAAACAAACAAAATCTGCCTCTTTATAATATTAGTATAGATACATTTGTAAATATTAGTATATCTCTCTATATTCTAAATAGATCACGCGAGATATAGATTATAATGGCTATTGATTTTCATTAAGTATACTGAATCCTTCAAATTACGTGTAGTTGTAGACCAGCAAACTGATAATGGCATCGAAATTGGACAGATATAGATGTTAAAGTTATGGCACTATTAGGAAAATAAATATTTTATTAAAAAAAATATATAAAGAGAACTTCAACTTCAAACTTCAACTATTAATTTCTTGCCGACTCCTTTTAGCAGATATGTATTCCGAGACAGTGGTCAAATGTATTTTATTTATTGAAAAAAGAAAAATTATGTTATTAGAACGAAGTTCCTTATCGCATGGAAGTAGATGTAAAAGGATCTTTGTCCGTTTTTTTCATTTAAAAACTCGTGTATGTAATACTGGAATGCTACGCACATTAATTAACGCACGTGTGATTCTGTTTGTAATGAATAATACAAACAGTACTTGCTGTGCCAGCGGTCGCGGGTTCGAGTCCCGCTGAGGACATCCATTTGTGTGGTGTGCACGAAAGTTTGTACTCCAGTTATGGGTGTTTATTAACCGACTTCCAAAAAGGAGAAGGTTCTCAATTTGTCGGAATCTTTTTTTTATGTATGTCCACCGATTACTCGAAGACGCCTGAACCGATTTGGATATTTTTTTTTGTTTCAAAGGGTATACTTCCCAGGTGGTCCCATATAAATTTTATTTGAAATCGGTCAAGCGGCTTTTTTTAAAATCAACAAATAAATTATTTTTTTTTAAATAAATTGCTTAATCGAACATGTTATTAATAAACTTTCTTCCAACAAATTACCTGCTTATTACGTCTACACTAAAAATGGACAAATAAAAACTTTTAAAATAAAAATAAAAACCGACTTCAAGGCACTAAAATGTAATAATGTGTTTCGAAGTCGGTGCCAGCCGACAATATTTTAAGATATGAATATCTATTATCTAATAGGTAAATATGTGTTTTACGTATCGAAATATATTACATTTGCTTTGCATCGGCTGGCACCGACTTCGAAAATATCTGATTAGGTATCTATTCTAAATGAAAACCCCCGTTTAGTTATTTTTTACATTTTAGTGCCTAGAAGTAGGTTTTTTTTAAGTTTTTATATTTGTCAACCGACTTCAAAAAGGAGGAGGTTCTCTTATGGTTGTTACCTCCGAACTCCGTCATTTATTAACCGATTTGGACAATTTTTGTGTCGTTTGAAAGTGTATACTTCCATATTGGTCCCATTTAAATTACAAAAAAAAATACTACCCCTAAGGGTGGAAAAATAGCGAATGATGAATTTAACCTACTTCTAATTGTCATATTGACTTGAAACTTTGCAAGTGTTTCTATTTCCGTTGATAGTACAGTGGTTCGGTATTGTTGACCTGATCTGATGGTAAGGCCAGAAGGTGGATAGGTCGAACTCTTCAACGGCTAATAGTAGATACTTTGAGTTTGGGCTTATTTTGTTTGATTTGACAAGCCTAACACGTTAGAATTCTTACTTTGCTACTACTGTCTACACTAAAAAGGGAAAAATAAAAACTTTTTAGCAAAAAAATAAAAACCGACTTCAAACAAAAGCACTAAAAAGTAAAAAAATAACTGATTGATAGTTTTCATTTACTATACATACCTAATCAAATATTTTCGAAGTCGGTGTGCTTTGGCTAAGTAATTAAAGCCTACCTATTAAATACATATGTACCTATCAAATATTATCGAAATCGGTGCCAGCCTATACAAAGTAAAGCACACCGACTTTTTAGTGCTTTTGTTTGAAGTCGGTTTTTATTTTTTTGTTAAAAAGTTTTAATATATGTGAAGTGTATCAACTATCCGGTACCCATAACATAAGCCTCGTACCTTACCATGTACTTGATGGTGCTGTGTGTTAACGTCCCATCATATTTATTTTTATTTATATTATATGTATGTATGTATGTAATTATAGTGAGTCTCACCTCGCCGTAGCCGGTGACCTGCATGAGCTTGGTGGTGAGCGGCGCGCGCTCGCGGTGCGCGTGCAGGTTGCGGCGCGTGGCGGCGTGCGTGAGGCGCACGAGGTCGCCGGCGCGCACCGCCCGCGCGCCCGCCGCCGCCTCGCCGTCGTACGGCTTCACCACCCAGCGGTTATTGTCATCTTTGTGCGTGTACGTTGTTATCTGTTCGTTCAATTCATATTATGATCGTCAAGTTGTTTGGTTGTTTGGAAGATACTTATAAGATGTTCCAGTTCAAGAACTAGCATCAAGCCAGAATAATACATTATAACGGTATAATCAGACTATTACTTAAATCTGAAAGTTTGTGTATATGTTTGGATGAATTTTTTAAATATATACAGATAGACCATAACCTTGAGTAAGTCTTTGACTATTAATATATTAACTTTTTTGAGACTTTATCTGACACTCCAGTACAGAATATGATAAAATATATATATTTTTAATTTATTACCATTTAATACTTTCTTAGATTTACGCGAATACTTGACATTTTAAATAAAACTATCTTTTCGGATTTTTTCGCGAATTTATTTTGATTATTGGTTCCCGACGTTTCGAATGCTTTACAGCAATCATGGTATAATACTTTAGAGACATCTAACACCTCAGTCTCTCCCGTGACCATGATTGATTATTTAAAATTATTACCATTTATGTGTTATCATAAAAACATTTGAATTACAAAAAAATTTAGTCTAGTAAGTATTTAGTCATAGTATATCAAATTTCTATTTTTTAATATAAAAGGAATGAGTATTGTATGATGTGCGTGTGCGTGTGTGTGCGCGTGCGTATGTGTGTGTACGCACCTGCTGCTGCCTCGCGCCTACGCCGGGCGGGTAGAGGTGGTGGTGCGAGTGCAGGTAGCCGCCGCCCGTGCGGTGGTTCTTGAGCGTGAGCGTGGCGCCGTACGCCAACAACGACGGCGCGCTCGCATTGTGCAGGCTGTTGCCTGCCAGCCGCGCTTGGAAGCCCGACGAGTAAAAGCCGTCGCCGTTACCGCTGTGTACATGTGGGATACACATCATCATACACTAAGATTTAACTGTCTCAGTAGTGTAGTGGCTGGCACGTAAGGCTGAACATCATGAATTCCTGGTTTAGAGTACAGAGTCGACCAAGTCTATTTATTGAATATTTCTGTAAAGAAAATCTTAGTAACAGCCAGTACAGCTGTCGGTCCAGCTCAATGCCTCCAGCGGGACTCGAACCAGCGATCTCTGGCACAGCAAATAGGGTCACTACAAACTGAGCCAAACGTTTCGTCAAAATAATTGTGAAGGATGTTCCAGAAAACGCGATCAAGAGTTACGAACCAATAAAACATTTCAAATCAAAACCATGTTTAATCTACTTACCTTTTACTAAGAACTGTAAGATGAATCCAAAAGAAGAACACATAGAGTATAATAGGCCACACTATTAGGGTTAAGCTCCTTCCAATTAGATGTTTTAATGTCAAGCTCTGAAAAAAAACATATTTAAAATAATTAAAAGATTTATTACAAATTAGCAACTCACCTTCGTTTCATTCGGGTTAGTCCCTAGTGAAAAACTAAAAAAAAAAAATATCCTACAGGAACCATACATTTTCCGGGATAAAAAAGCCTATGTGCTATACCAGACTATAATCTATCTCTGTGCCAAATTTCATCCTGATCCGTTTAGCCGTTCTGGCAAAATTGAGTAACAAACATCCATCCACTTAAACTTTTGCATTTATTAGGGAGAGTATTTTAAAGTTTGCTTTTGCTTCTTGTGGGAATTGAACTCGCTACCTGTAATATACTTTAAAACACAACACACCACTTTAACGATTGTTGATGTTTCTTATCAAATTAGGAGTAACATCTATAATTTCTATAATTGTGTTTATTCCATTGTCTGTTTACCACGTAGCAATTGAACAAGGAATCTAAGTATGTTGTATGTATGTTTTGCACGATAGTTTAGCCCGAGAGGAAACACAATGCAGGCTGCATCTTACCTTGGTATGAAATAGTTCTAGTCTCGTAAAAACATACAAATGTTAGTTTTTAAGTTGATTAATGTACACAATGTATGTAGACGTGCTCACTTGTGAAACCGAGCAATGCCACCTGGCATACACTCACACCTTAGATATTTTCATGTGTGAATCATCCAACGATTTCACACTTGACCAGCGTGGTGGACTATGGCCTGTTTCCCCTCATATTGAAGGGAGGCCCGTGCTCTCAGTAGGACATTAAAAAGGGCTGAATACATGTACATAATATGTAGATACTTACATACAATTATTTAGGGTATAATTGCTTTCAGAATTGATTAACTTACCACAGGCTTAGTCAAATCTCCCAGCACATTCCAAAGGTCAGCAATAGTTCTTAAACCCACAAATAACACTACAAACAGTCCAACAAATTTAACTGACATTGTACAAGCAAGAGATGTCCCAAGAAATATTTGCCATATCAGCATTTTCATAGAAAATGGTGGTAGACCATCATCAGTTAATGATCGCACCTGTAATTTATTTTTTAATTGATTGGAATAATTTTATTAATATTCTATGTAATATATATAATAAAGAATTTCAAAACAATATTGAAAATTCTATTAGAAATTGGCATACCCTAAATGCTCCATATATAGAACAACTCATGAAGAACAACAGTATAGGATCCAATAAAATATATCTATTCAAAGTTAAGAATCCAACATCTAAAAAAATACAAGTCAAGTTAAAAATAATATAATTTGTTATTTTGTTGTACCAGATAAATAAATTTATAAACATACCACAAAGTAGAAGTAAGGTTCCAATAAATGTTGAATCAAGTGATCTAGTCATCTCCCAAATGGTCAAAAAAGTCAGTGGAATAACTAAAGCTCCTAATGTTGTACAAAACTAAAAAAATAAGTTTTCATTAAGAATTTTAAAAGGCAGTGGTAGCCCAGTGGTAACGCGCTCGCTTGAGAAACCGAGTGAAGCGGGTTCAAATCCCGGGTCTCGCACCTCTGATATTTTCATGTGCGAATCATTTCTAACATGATTACCACTTGCCTTACGGTGAAGGAAAACATCGTGAGGAAACCTGCATGTCTGAGAGAACTTAGCAAGTTTTCTAAAGACATGTGAAGTCCGCCAACCCGCACTTGGCCAGCGTGGTGGACTATGGCCTGATTCCCCTCGTACTGAAGGGAGGCCCGTGCCCAGCAGTGGGACGATAAAAAGGGCTGAATACAAGAATTTTAAAATCGGTTTAAAGTAAAAGTCCTTCTTTTCTATTAACTCACAATTCTCATTCCTTCATATCTTGCCCCATCATATTTGTCACCCGGTTTTTCAAAAGGAAATGTACCATCATAGCCTGTTAATTTTCCCGAGAGGGCTATGAGCATCTAGAATTGGCAAAAAAATATTCATAGAGTAATTAAGATTAGTTTAAGTTAATTATCTTAAAAGGTAATAAAATTATACCTTTCCAAGTGGCGGATGAACATCGAAAAAAAAAGTTCTATTAATGTACCAGCTTGCCATTTTTCCAAAATGTGTTTCATCCCAACTGAAAATATAGAAAAGACACCAAAACATTTGATATTACAATGTTTTAAATTTTGCAACTCTAAATATACATTTCTTAAATATAAAACAGTTACTTCTAAATAAGTAATATTATTACCATACATGATCCGGTTCCAGAACTTTATAGAAGCGGGTCAGAAAAGTTGCACCACATAGAATTCCAAATGTTATCCACCATCTAATAATATTATAATAGATTAGTATGGCAGTAGTCAATAAATTTTTAATAATTTAAATATTTTTACAAAAATAAACTTGTAAATAGTAAATGATTACAGTTTTGTATTGGAAGAGACTGAAGGGCGATTTTTATTTTTTTCCGTCATATTTCTTTCACTTTGTTCTTTCTGTTATAAAAAAGTAATAATTGACATAATATTTAAATAAAAACTATTATAAGCAACTAAACGAAAATAACGGTATCTGAACTCTGAAGACCGAGTCGGGAGTCCGAAACAGAAAACGTCATTGGAAATGGACATTGGACAGTGAACCGAGTGCCTAAGTGACAGTTGTCTCTAACGTCAATGTCATGGATGACAAATAACAGTCAATGTGCGAAATCGGTAGAGTTGCCTACAAAAATCTGTATATTTGGACCCATAATCGGTAGATGAAAAAAAAAACAATATTCATTCAAAAAAAGTTTATTTATTCATTTTAAATAAAACTATCTTTTAGGACTTTTTCGCGGATTTATTTGGATTTTTGGTTCCCGACGTTTCGAATGCTTTAGACCATTTATGGTCACGGGAGAGACTGAGGTGTTAGATTTCTTTTTTTTATATTGATTACTTTGTGGATGGCCACTTAAGTAAGAATAAAACGTAAAACCCCGAATTATTAAAAACTAGCCTTCGCATTAACGGAATGCAAAGACACGAAAATCGAAAACTATTCTCCTACTCTCTGTGAAGGCAGACAGACTAGTAGTAGTAAAAATTTTATAATCTGTGACTGTAGTCGTAACTCAGAGTATGTCTGTGCCTCGAGAGTCTCACTCGCTTCCGAAATCAGAGTTCCGACTTTCGCTTCGTTCATCGTTCTCACTTCTCACTGTCTCAGTACAAATTGCAAAATAACCTTTAATAAATAAAAGTTGTCTGTTTTGTTTAATACAGTTTATGAAATTTAAATACAGTTAGGCCCTGTCCGCACTGCGATATATCACCGCGATTTTTATTCTCGCGTATTATATTCCGTGATCGAAATTGTACTTATGACGCACTGCGAATAAAATTTCGTACGATTTTTGTCAGTTTGATGCAGTTCCCGACTGAGACAAACGTCTAAAATGATAAATCTACTATATCTACTGAGAAATTTTAGTAATCTAAAATGATGTTTTTCTACATTAAATATCAAGAGTTGCGAAAATACAGTAAAAAGTTTTTCGGATATTACAGAATGACTACAAAATCATTCGATAAATCAATAGCGTCGGTGTACGACTGAGCGAAACGCGCGAATTTTATTTCGCAGTGCGGCCATAGCCATACATATTATATACTGTACAAAACATTCGCGCGGAAATAATCCGCGCCGCATCGCGTTCAATTTGCATCAAATCACAGATTTTTTTCCGCGCGAATTTTTAACCGCCAGTGCAGATACTCCTATAAGATTCAATGTGTTACAGAATTGCGAGAATAAAAACGTGCGGTGAAATATCGCAGTGCGGACAGGCCGTTAGTGTGTATAACGATATATAAAAATGGCTATTTTAACTTAGCAGAGAAACATACTGCAAGCCAAAAGAGATAGTAAAATTTTGTTTTTGCAAGGTCTAGAGAAAAAGTATTGGGATTAATAAATAAATAAAATGTTTTGTTTCTTCACTAACTGTTTTTACTCATATTAACCTGATCCCTACTTAATCTATACTAATATAATAAAGAGGTAAAGTTGGTGAATTGTGAGTTTGCGTTGTAGGGGGTAATCTCTGGATCTACTGAACAGATTTAGATGAAATTTGGTAAGAAGAAAGTTTAAGACCCTGGGAAGGACACTTTTTATCCCGGAAATCATCCCTTAAGGGAGTGAAAATGGGGAAGAAAGTTTGTATGGGGAATCAACCTAGGGATAGACCCGAGCGAAGCGAGGGTGAGTCACTAGTATTTATTATATTTCAAACATAAAGAAAAATCCGAAAAGATAGTTTTAAATTTTATTTAAAATAACTTAAAAATATAAAATAGTTACAACAAGTTTTTTTTTTCAATTATTTTGAGGTTAATTTGTGGGGAACCAGTATTTTTTTGTCTCCAAGTTGGGGAATTTGAGTAAGATTTTCGGGGAAATTTATAAATTGATGTTGGCAACGCTGGTCACCATATTGACAGGAACATAGAGTATGTAACCCTTTGACAGGTATACAGTCAACAAATTCGTGTTTGATGTTAAATTACTTGCTGTTTAGTGTTTTATATTTTATTGAATCATTCGTACATTAAAATACACTATAACTCGAAGGAGTGACGCACTACGCAGTCTTTTCTTCATTCCGCCGTTGTGTGATCAGCGATGATCTTGTCTTGATTATACATCATGCGGTTAAATTGTGTGTTTGCTATAATACAGTGCTATCTATTTATTGGCTCTTTCGCGAATTTAAAAGTTGAGCAAAAAGAGAAATTTTTAAATGGATTCCTTAACTACTTAAATAATTTGCCCAATCATCAGTATAATTATGAAGGTGTTATTATTGATGCGCAAAAGATTGTAAGTATGTTTTATTTTTATAATGTTTTACAAGGTTATCATTCGAAAGAAGACCCCAGGATAAAAATTATCAATAGTTTAATGGCACATTGTTATAACTCTTGGAAATTTAAAGATAATTTTCATATATTTTAGATATTTTTTTTCACTAATTTTCTTGTTACTTGTTTGTATGATTGTTTTAAGTTTAGCTTACAGTGTATAAAAATAGAGAAATATAGGATTTTATTGATTGCTTTAAAATATGAGATAAATACTTCAAATTCTAATTAATGTATTAAATTTATTTATGCAATCTAATTTAGTGTTACTTTGGTAAAAATGTTTGTTTTAGAATGATGAAAGCTATTGTTATAAAATAGAAGCCACCTTGAAAACTTTTGAAAATTCCAATTCACAATCAAAATATGTTAAATGCACTGCTACTATACTAGACCTCGAAGAGGGTATTATTGTTCAGAATGATGAGTATCACTGTGAAAATAGTGATTTTAGTCAGCAGAGTGAAAGTAATACTGGGGAAGGATTTGTAGAAGACGAAACTACTTCAACTCCAGTAGCTATTGAATATGAACCAGTACATTTGGATAATGAAGTGCAGCCTAATTCTGGTGTAAGATTATACAAGATATATTTTTTTATTTATAACATAATTTCATTGTAAAGATAGGTAGGTTCTTATTAAAAAATGCTTTATACTAATATTATAAATGCAAAAGTAACTCTGTGTGTCTATATGTCTAACTGTTACCTTTTCAAACAAAATAAATAAAAACTAAAGTAAAATCTATATCTAAACTAATGCTTTCCTACATCACCTGCTTTTGTATGTACAGTAGGTCAAAAAATACTTTGTGTCTTCTTCTGTAAGTCACATATCTTTATTTATAACTTATTTTATAATGTATTTTCTTACTATCCTTTGAGCTGTCACATTGTAAAAAAATAACCAACACAAATCTTTGTAATATTATTGCTAAGTAAATATAAGCTTTCTATCCAGGTTACATCTGGTGAACAATTCATTGCAATACCTAGAAGACAAACTGGTGGGGCCTGTGTAGGATGCTCTAGTCATGTAAATCCAGAAGCTGCTGGAGTTAGCGATTTGGCAGTATTAGCTATCAAACATATAGATCGACATGAACCTACTGTCAGGCACTTGCTTGAAGCTGTACTTGATGTTGAAAGGCAAGTTCAAGTAAGTATCTTTATGGTATTTGTTACTAAAGTTATAAATGAACATTAATGTCACCATCTTATTATATTTTTTCTTAAATACACTTAATATATAATAGTTCAAATAATAAATGGACTATTTTTTGTAGGTGGTGAATGGAGTTCGATACATTTTAACACTTCAAATTAATTTCAATAAGTGTACATCTACAGAATATGAGTGCACCGAAAGTAAAATTTGTAAAATATCAATACTAGAAAAAACCTGGATTAAATTACCTGACGGTACAAAGTATAGAGCTATTTTGGCTAATAACTGTACTCAGGAATGGCAATTTGGTGATGAAGGTGAATATATTCCCAGTAGTGATGTAAACAATGAAAATAATGATATTGATATCCATCCTCCATCAAGTACTAATGATCAAGTTCATGATAAACCAACACCAGATTATGATAAAATTGCTAATACTGGCTCAGTAGATGAAATTCTTAAAGCTATACATAATACAGATGTTCAAGCTCTACCCCAACAAGAGAAAACATTAACTGAAATGGATATAAAAAACTTAGAACAACAGATAATTCCTTACGAGAAATTTCATCAAAAATATCCAGTGCCTTCTGCAGATGATGCAAAAAATCCAAAGCCATCAAATTTACATATTGATAATCTTTCAGACACTGAAACAGTGAAGCAATACACTGGTGGTAGTTCAGCTCAATACAAACCTTCTGAATATGAAGTAAAATCGAGTTTTATAAGTGATGATAAAAGGAAAGCAATAGATGACTTAATAAATTTTTTCAATTCTGCTGGGTTTGATTACAATCAGGGCTTTGCAAGAATTAAAAGAAGTTATGATCATGACTTAAAAGTAATGTCTCTTGTTGAAAAAGTTCATAAAATAAAAAAAAATATTCACAATGCAGAAAAAATATATATTTTGGCACAAAAATTAGTAGAATACTTAAATAAAAATAATTTAGAAATTGGAGACAGAGCTCTCGAAGATGTTATTGCTGCGGAAGAAGAAATTGAAAATTTACAACACTTCCTCTACATCCAAATCCGTGTAGGTATTCCTTGTGAGCATAATAAATGTAAAAGTAAGGAACTACTAAATAAAATATGTAATGGTATTATTGAAACTACTAATGAAGCAGATCCACAATTCTTAAGTGCTTTTTGTTATGATGAAAAAACGAAAAAATTACAAACACGTAAAGCTGAGATGATTCCATTTAATGATCCATTTCTTCTAAGACTATCTAAAGAAGCTTTAAAAAAAATTGAAATAGAATCATCACATCCAAATGCTTTAAAAATTGATAAAATATTGCAAGCATTTACCCAAAAAGCTTCTGGTAGACTAACGAAAATCACTTTAAATCTTGTTTATACAGATTGTAACAAAACAGTTCCATATGTGAAAAGAACAAATTGCTCTATATTAGAAAAAATGGATTTTAATGTGTGCGAAGTGAGTATTCATGAAAGACATTGGCTTAAAGAGAAAACAATCTCATATAAATGTACACCACAACATTATGGTGAAAGTTTTTCAAAAACAGATAAATTGATTGACTTACAAGAAGCTATGAACGATCCTAAAGTTTTAGAAATGATAGAAGAAGCTGTGCAATATTTAGAACTTCATTCAAACAGAAATAACAGACAAAGGGCTAACAAAATAAATTCGGTGAAAACTCAACTTGTAGGAGGATTACTCACTCAGATTAATTTCGATGTAGCTTATACTAGGTGCTCCTACGAAGATAATGTTGATTTAAATGCTTGTGATCTTTTGGAGAATGAACCTCTGCGTAATTGTAAAGTGCAGGTATGGGATCGCCCTTGGCTGGAAGACGGAAGACAAATGAGAGTTTTTTGTGATGAAACTACTGAAAATGATAAACCAAGCAGACAAAAGAGATCATTAGGTGAAAAGGAATTAGTAGGTGGACAAAAAGTAATAGATGCTACAGATCCAAAATATACTCTATTAGCAAAAGAATCTTTACGTAATTTTGTGGAATCAAATGGAGTCATTGAAGAATACGAGTTAGCAATTGTCCAAAACGTAACTATTCAAGTTGTTGCTGGTACGTTAACTCGAATTGATTTTAAAATTCGTACTAAAAACGGTCAAGGTCCTGAAATTCTTTGCCATTCAAAGGTTTGGGAGAGATTATGGTTAAATAGCACGGAATATACTGTAAAATGTGATGACTTTAATGTTAAAACTCTAAAAAAGCGTCATATTTTGGGTGGCCATATAGCTCAAGATCCAAATAATCCTGAATATAACGCATTAGCTGAAAAATCTTTACGAAAATATCTTGAAACTATTGGTACAAAGCAACATCACAAGCTGATTCAAGTTGCATCAGTAAATACGCAAACAGTATCAGGTAAATTGATCGATCTCAAATTTACAATTTCACCCACTAATTGTAATTTGGACGAAAAATTCGAGCCAACTTCACTGGATTGCGATGTAATTGACGCTTCCAATGTTCTGCTATGCCAATCTTTAATTCATAGACAAGTGTGGCGTCATACAAAAGATATAGAAATAGATTGTAAAAAACAAGATGAAAATGATAAACCAAGCAGACAAAAGAGATCATTAGGTGAAAAGGTATTAGTAGGTGGACAAAAAGTAATAGATCCTACAGATCCAAAATATACTTTATTAGCAAAAGAATCTTTACGTAATTTTGTGGAATCAAATGGAGTCATTGAAGAATACGAGTTAGCAATTGTCCAAAACGTAACTATTCAAGTTGTTGCTGGTACGTTAACTCGAATTGATTTTAAAATTCGTACTAAAAACGGTCAAGGTCCTGAAATTCTTTGCCATTCAAAGGTTTGGGAGAGATTATGGTTAAATAGCACGGAATATACTGTAAAATGTGATGACTTTAATGTTAAAACTCTAAAAAAGCGTCATATTTTGGGTGGCCATATAGCTCAAGATCCAAATAATCCTGAATATAACGCATTAGCTGAAAAATCTTTACGAAAATATCTTGAAACTATTAGTACAAAGCAACATCACAAGCTGATTCAAGTTGCATCAGTAAATACGCAAACAGTATCAGGTAAATTGATCGATCTCAAATTTACAATTTCACCCACTAATTGTAATTTGGACGAAAAATTCGAGCCAACTTCACTGGATTGCGATGTAATTGACGCTTCCAATGTTCTGCTATGCCAATCTTTAATTCATAGACAAGTGTGGCGTCATACAGAAGATATAGAAATAGATTGTAAAAAACAAGATGAAAATGATAAACCAAGCAGACAAAAGAGATCATTAGGTGAAAAGGTATTAGTAGGTGGACAAAAAGTAATAGATCCTACAGATCCAAAATATACTTTATTAGCAAAAGAATCTTTACGTAATTTTGTGGAATCAAATGGAGTCATTGAAGAATACGAGTTAGCAATTGTCCAAAACGTAACTATTCAAGTTGTTGCTGGTACGTTAACTCGAATTGATTTTAAAATTCGTACTAAAAACGGTCAAGGTCCTGAAATTCTTTGCCATTCAAAGGTTTGGGAGAGATTATGGTTAAATAGCACGGAATATACTGTAAAATGCGATGACTTTCATGTTAAAACTATTAATAAACGTCATGTTAAGGATGTCCCAAAATTCAATGATCTAAAGGGATCTTCCAGGAAACCGAATCCAAACAATTCCGAATATAAAGATTTGGCTGAAAGATCATTTAAAAAATATTTACATAATAATAAATTAAAATTTAATCATTACATTGTTGTAAATCAAGTAATCACTCAAGTTGTTTCGGGAATCATTTACAAAATAGATTATGTTGCTATGCCAAGGTCATGTGCTTCAGAGAATCAAATAAAATGCTCAGAAAGTGAAAAACTTTATTGTTATACTGAAATTTTAGATCGTCCTTGGGTAGGAGGTAGGAAAATAAATGTAGACTGTAATGAAGGTATTGATAGCGATGAGGAAGAAATAAATTATAGAAATGTACGAGATATTACTGGTGTCCCAAAATTCAAAGATATAAAGAGATCTCCGAGGAAACCGAAACATGCAGAATATAAAGAATTGGCTGAAAGATCATTTAAAAAATATTTACACAATAATAAATTAAAATTTCATCATTACATTGTTGTAAATCGAGTAATCAGTAAAGTTGTTTCGGGAATAATTTACAAAATAGATTATGTCGCTATGCCAACGTCATGCGCTTCAGAAAATCAAATAAAATGTGCAGAAAATGAAAAACTTTATTGCTATACTGAAATTTTAGATCGCCCTTGGGTAGGAGGTAAAAAGATAGATGTAGACTGTAATGAAGGCATTGATAGCGATGGCGAAAATATTAATTATAGAAATAAACGTAATATTCGATTAGGTGCACCAATAGAAAAAAATATAAACGATGAATACAAAATACTGGCTGAAAAAACGCTAAACACGTATCAGGATATATCAAAAACCAAGTATGTCCACAAAATAATAAAAATATACCGTGTTACTGAAAATAATGTTCAAGGAAAGCTCATTAAGCTAGAATTTTCCGCGTCGCCTACAAAATGTTTGATAGCAGATAGTGTAGTGGCTAAAGAAGATTGCACTTTCTTAAGTCCTAAAATGACATTGCGTTGCGAAGCAGAAGTATGGAACAGGCCCTGGTTGAAATCAGAGTTAGATGAGATAATTATAAATTGTAAGAAGGAATACTCAAAACAAATTAGTAAAAACTACCCAAAAAAAAATGAACAAATAAAACGATCTAAGAGACATATCGTACAATCTGAGGATGACTATATTGATGAAGATACAAAATATTATTACGCAGATCGTGCTATTAACGAGATCAACGATAAAGCTTCTACGAACAACTTGCAAAAACTTATAACTGTACATGCTTTTCATAATAGTAGGAACATGGGATTAAATATGGTTCAAATGTACATAGAAACAGCTTTCACTTATTGTTTACGACATCAAGATGAAGCAGAACTACCAGATTGTGAAGAATTGTCTGGGATGTACCACAGACTATGTTACGTTAGACTGTGGCCACAAGCTGATGATGAATTAGTTGTAGATAAGATTGTCATAGTCTGTGACGATGACAAAGAGTTTAAGAACGTAACAGGCCTATCAATAGACGTTTTATTAAAAGAATCTATACAAGAGTTAGAAAGTTCACCGGAGCTTAAGTATAAGCTTATACTTTTAGGAGAACAAATATTAATCCCTAGCTTTAATTCCAAGATACCAATAAAATTGAGCTTTTTAGTGAGCACTACAAATTGCTCAAAAGACGTAGATATAGTACAAGCTCCTTATGTATGTGTTGTAGATACTTCTAAACTGTCCAAATCATGCACTTCCTATATCTGGATGACTAAAAATTATAAGAAAATTAAAAAAATAAGTGTTGTTTGTGGTCTGCCTCAAGAAAACCGTAGTAAACGATCGATATCCTTAGAAGTGACAAATGCTACATCTGATGAGATAGCTATACAAGAGTTAGTAAAAGAATCATTGGAAAAGCTAGAAATGGCTTCACAATATAACTATAAACAACGAGTTTTGCAAATTAATAGTTATGATAGTAAAATAACTACGGGAAAGTTAACTGTGATCGATTTTGACGTAGGATATACGAATTGTTTAAAGTTCGAGTGGGTGGATGACATTACGAAGTGCGAATTTATAGAACATTTACCCCAAAGACACTGTACATCCCATATCTCAGAACGTGTTTTGTTACAAAACGGAAGAAAAATAGAAGTCGACTGTCACGATATAGAAGCTCCTCTAGAAGCTCACATTGAATTTGATAATCCAGAAAATGCTATGCGTTTAGCAGATCAAGCGTTAAAACACATTGAAGCAAAATATCTACATCAATTTAAACAAAAAGTAGTTAGGATATTGTCAATAGAAAAACAAGAAATAGCTGGTCTACATTACAGGATGAAGATTGAAGTTGGGTTTACAGATTGTTACGCTTTGAGTGTAAGAGATGACTGTAAACTCAATAAAAATACTCAAAACAAACTGTGCAATGTAAACGTTTGGTTGCGAACGTGGACAGATCTTCCGCCTGTATACCGAGTGTCATGCGACCACCAAGACATTGGTAATACCGACCTCCACCTCGACATGCAAGCGAGCTATTTATTTGCTGATTTCTTGACTACTCATAAGCCAGAGTATATGGATGACCACGTTGAAACTCGAAAAAGATACAACGTATTCAGAGAAAATTTAAAAAAGATACATGATCTAAACACACATGAAAGAGGTACTGCTACATACGCCGTTACTAGATTCGCTGATTTAACATATGAGGAATTTAGTCAAAAATATTTAGGACTGAAACCTAGTTTACGTAACAATAATCATATTCCGATGACAAAAGCTGAAATACCGCAGGTGCGGCTACCTGACATGTTTGACTGGAGACAGTATAATGCAGTTACAGAAGTTAAAAATCAGGGATCGTGCGGTAGCTGCTGGGCTTTCAGTGTTACAGGTGAGTTGTAAAATTAAGTTTAAAATCAAAATTTTATATTTTATATATATTATAGTTAGCTTTTATGAATATAGGGAGGCAAATTAGCAATTTGGCCATTTCTACTTTTTTCTTTAAAATGTTCTCAACAAAATTACTCGAGTACTTATATTGGTTGATGTACTCGTAATACTCTGGCTTATTTTAGCCTTCATGACTAAAATCTATAAAAATGAATCTTGGGAATTAAGACAGAAATTGGATAATTCTTTTTTTGTGTTTCTTATTGTCAGGAAGTTTTGTATAGAAGAAAAATAAAAGAATATTTTTTTGTACTAAGACAAGATTATTTTTTAAATCTCATAATATGAAAAGTGAGAGAGTGAAATAGTTTTTATCCCGGAAGTCATCCCCTGAGAATGGGGATGAAAGTTTGTATGGAGAAGAAAAATAATTATACTACAAGATTATTAAGAAAATATTCGCATAAATCTAAAAAAGTATTTGATCAATAATTGAGAAAAATATTTGATGATGTCCTCTCGACCGATTTTCAGAATATTATAACAGTTTTATTAAAGTTCGACTTACTTTTATCGAGACCGTTATGTTGCAAGTTGTTCAATTAAAATTCGCCTTATATTTACTTACAGACAACTTATCAGATTATTTTATTGTGACTGGTAAGACTTTTTAACAATAAAATGAAAATTATTTATTATATATCTATTTTGAATTTCTGCTCTAAGCTGAATCAAACCTGCGAACTATGGCTTATTGTGGCGAACTGGTAGAAGACTTGTGACGTTCAGTAAAAAAATGTAATAATTTAATGCTGAATAAAATATTTTGAATTTGAATTAGAAGAAGAATAATATGTATTCTTATATTATTACTAGCGGGTCACCCTTGCTTCGCTCGGGTTCGCCTCTAGGAAAACACTAATAGAGATCTATTAGTTCCCACGGGAACTGTTCATTTTTCCCGGATGAAAAGTAACCTGTTGTTTGACCGGCAATATAAGGTATCAGAATGTTAAATTTTACTAAATTAGGTGCATAAGTTGTATAAGTTATTATAGTTTTTTTACTATCCCACGGGAACTATTTAATTTTCCGGGATAAAAAGTATCTAAGATGTTGCCCGGGGATATAAGGTACCACCATGCAAAATTTCATTTAAATCGGTCCAATAGATTCGGAGATTAGCCCGTACAAACAGACAGAGAAACAAAAAATTTGAAAAAATGCTGGATTTGTTCTATTTGTCTTCTTACATCCCCCTGACTCGGTTTTTAGCATTTTTTTGCTATATACAGACATTCGACCTCTACAGTTTTATTATAGTATAGATATTGTTCTTCTATAATTATTATTATTAGAGAATAATACTATAGAAGAGTAATAAGGTCTTATTGAATTTATTTGAAAATACGAATATACATATATTGTACAGGCAACGTCGAAGGCCAATGGAAGATTAAGACTGGCGATTTGGTGTCATTGTCAGAGCAAGAGTTGGTGGACTGCGATAAGCTGGACGATGGATGTAATGGCGGCTTGCCAGATAATGCTTATAGGTAAATATACCTAATTTGCATATTTTTTTATTTCAGTAAATATAGAAGAAATGAGTCATGATTCTGAAAAACGTAAAAAATAAAATGTTGGGAATTACCGGCTTCTAAAAGTAGCAATGAGCAATAAACGCGTGTACGAGTATCACACAGATAGGGGTAATTAGAAAGATTTAAATAGGATTTTTTAGAAGTTTCGATGTTAGGTCTTTCTCCATTTATCAACCGACTTCAAAAAGGCTTTGCTTTGTATGGGCTGGCACCGATTTCGAAAATATTTGATTATGTATGTATTTAATAGGTAGGCTTTAATTACTTAGCCAAAGCACACCGACTTCGAAAATATTTGATTAGGTATGTATAGTAAATGAAAACTACCAATCAGTTATTTTTTACTTTTTAGTGCTTTTGTTTGAAGTCGGTTTTTATTTTTTTGTTAAAAAGTTTTTATCTCATATATACTCGTAGGTTACCGGGAAAAAAGATTTTATATTAATCATAATAAGTAAAGTTAAATAGCGCAGATGAAATGTGGTCAAGGATATCTATAATACGATGGGTGAAGGTCAAAGAATGAACTTACTTACTTATTGTATAGACTGATATGAAAACGACTAGCTTTAATTACTTAACTTACTTAACGTAGTCATTTTCTATATATAAACGGTAAACGACTAAGTTTTATAATAATAATATTTGCAAAAAATTGTCTCAATAAATACCTTATCCTGCTATGACATATTTTCCTGTTATTCTAAAGTATGAACTGTAACCTTCATTTGCTTTGGGGTCAGGGAATGCCCTAAATTTGTATTGTGGTTTGTAGTATGATAATTGTTTGCTACAAGAATATAAGTGATAATGCGAAATATGATTTTTTTTATATTTTTAGTATCAATTTTACGTCATTATATTATATTCATCCTAATAAAAAAAAAATGTTTTTGTAATAACTTACTTTATTTTGGAGTGTTATTTTATGTACATATATATGAATGAGCATTTAATATGTACATCTTATATGGGAAGGTACTGACTCTTGAGACACAGTTTTCTAGTTCAGAAGCTAGGGTTTAGTGCATTTCTTATCATTGCCTTATTAGGATGTCTGTTGTTTTACAATATTAATGTTACATGATGGCTCTTTTCGGAGCTAACGAAAGAAGATTTTTACCTATTGTTACTGAATATTAATGCTTTTGATTATTTTATCTTGTGTGGATTCTTTTATCTATTCTTTAGAATAAATTATAGAAACACCAAATGGTGACTTTGCCCAACTCAAAGTTCTTTTTAGACGCTAAGATTTTTTTATTTTTCTTGCTTTTTATGCAAACCAGTTTAGATATTCACCGTCCGCGGCCTATTTCATTTGCTTTACGTGTTATTTGTTCACTGCCTTTGGCAAAGAAACACAAAATTTCAAAAAAAAGGAGAAATGTGATTTGCCAAATATGTTTGGACTTTGGAAGTGACTCGCTGTTGCGTAAATGCGTTTCTTTTGGAATCTAACGTAATTATACATTGCCTACTAATTTTTGCTCAGGGCTTTGCACGTATTGTAAAAGGAACGAGAATTAGAGATACCTTATGTCCGTAGCCGTACCTATGATGCATGTGTGTCCTTGCCAGTTTTAATAGTTATGTTCGTTCATATTTATGTTCGTTCGTTCGATCGTTGCCGTTTCGCGGTTAAGGCGATTAGTATCCCCAAAATAATAAAATGTAACTAGCAAATGAGATTCAGTTCATTCAGAGCATAAATAGTTACCGCTACAATCACACATTTCTAAGGTATTTTTAAATCGAAACATATGTAAATGTGTCAAATCAAAGTATCAGAAGACTAAAAGTTCCAAAATCGATATGTCAGTGTCAGACACATGCATACAAAACACGTGAAAGAGGTGATCTAAATGATAAACTATTTATTCAGAATGCAATTAAGCTATGCCAGTCATTAAATTATTCATATGTAGTTTTTATGAGCTGTTTACAATGCCGCCGTCACATATCCCGTTCTCGCAAACAATTCAATTAAAATGTCGTGAATTTCCACGATATTATTAAACAATGAGCTATGCACGCTGCTGAGAGGATTACGTAATTAATTTTGTTTGCATAATAGGTTTATGTCGACTGGTTTGTTTGATTCATTGAAAGAATTCGAATTCATCCGCTCCGATAGTATAAAGCGATCAAAAGATATTGAATGTGATTAAAAATACAAAATTTTCTTATTTCCTTTGAGTTATGATTTCGGTGTTTTGACCCCAATCTAGTGCCCGTAGAACCGACGACTGATGAGTGATGGAGTTTGCTGAAGAAGGGTCACCCTCCAGCTGGGTGAATCGACTATAAATTCATAGATTAGATATAGGCAGTGGAGAACTGATTACGATGATGTACAAAAGATACTCTTATATATCTATGTTTACTATACATATACAATACACAAATATTATTTATGTGTAGTCTGTACATACAAATAATAAGTTCTTTATCATTGATTTTTTTAAACCTGTCTTTTGAGGATGTTTTTGTTTGTTATTCCAAATTAATTATTATTATTTATTTCCTTATAACAAGACAACTACGTATCTGTTAAATGCGGGATCTTTTTATATTATATGTGGGAAGATGGATGATCATGTGTAATATATATATACAACATAAACTCTACAATCTACATGTTTATATATTACTACTTTTTGACCGCGGCTTCGTTCGCGTGGTAGGAAAGTGGTGCTTGGATCTAAGTTAGCCTATGTCCGTCCCCAAGACGCAATCTATTTCCTTGCCAAAATTTATCGAAATCTGTTCAGCAGTTTAAGAGTGAAAAGGTAACAGACAGAGTTACTTTCACATATATAAAATTAAGTATGGTTGTACATACCTACTAGCTGTGCCCGCGACTTTGTCTGCTTCGCCCGACAATCGGTTTTTGACATTAATTAAAATATATACTGATTTATAAAATTGAACAATTCAATTTTAAGTTTTTTTTAAATAATACTCATAATAAGTAAATAATCAAAAAGTCGAGTTTAATCGACATGTATTTGTTGTTTTAATTTAAAAATCTAAAGTTAAAATGCGATGGAACTAGTATGTCCTAAAAAGATAAAATAAAAATAGAACAATTTTTTCGATGACTACTATTGCGATTCTGACGACAGCCATTTATTATTTCTGTACCATATAAGAAATATGTGTGAATATTTTAATTGCTCTCTGAACAATTTTCGGCAACAATGTTGTAGATGTCTAGGGACTAGGAGTGACAAACAGCGCCCGGGAAACCCCTTCAATTTTTAAAACGAGTTTCTTCATTGACCCTAAACCGAAAGGCTTTTCGGTTTAAGCTTTCGGTTTTGTTTTTTAACCGGTTAAACCCATAAAATGATTTTTGACGAATTTAGGTTCCATAATCAAAATAAACCGGTTAAAATCATTTTGTGCATTTATATTTGTCGAATCTTTGGTAATGGTGAATGGTTGAGTAGAAGGATACATGTACGTTTCATATTTATGAATTATATAAATTATAACTGGTTTATTTTGCATTAAAACCTAAGTCTAACCTTTCTCTAAGAATAACCGGTTATTTCGGTTTACTAAAAACCGTTAGTTTTTATTAACTGATTAATGAACGAGTAATGAATTAATCATTACGTAACCAAAATTAACCGGGCTTTTTAACCGGTTCCGGGCCCTGGTGACGATAGCCACTTAAGATCAGGGTCCGCTTTTTTTTCTCTTATTTTTATAAAACAAATATTTTATTTTCAGAGCAATAGAACAACTCGGTGGGTTGGAAACTGAAAATGATTATCCTTATGAAGGGGAAAACGATAAGTGTGTGTTCAACAAAACATTATCTAAAGTTCAAATAAGCGGTGCTGTCAACATCACTTCCAATGAGACGGACATGGCCAAGTGGCTTGTAAAAAATGGCCCGATTTCTATAGGTATGTTATTCTTTTAGTTATGTATCGGTTTCGGCTCGATGAAAATGATGATACTGATAGCTATTTAAGCCTTTTTGTAATTATATTCAGTCTCTATCTATGGAATCGTGGGTTCGAATCTCTTTCCTATCAAAAATTTATTTTGATTGTTGTGTTCTGTTGTTTTTGTACTTAGTTCCTTTTTTATTATCAATTATGCCTTATTATTAGTTAATCCTTTTCTGGCACAACTTAGATTTTCGTCACAATAAAAAAATAATGTACATCGTTCTTCTGTATTTTTAAAATATTTATAAAGTAGAAATTCTATATTGTAGAAGCTGATTGGTTTATTATTTAGTTATTATTATTAAACGCATACATAATTGGATTCTTTGATACTTGTGTGTGTATTGTCTGAACCAATATCACAAATAATAGGAAGCTTTGGCTTGTATAAAATAAGTAAACACATTAAACTGTATTGAGAACAGAAAATAAAAGTCATAACACTTTATTCTACCACGCCGAAACCCTTCACTTTATAGTGGGCTATATTTTTACCTTGGAAAGGAAGGAAATTTATACAGAAGAAATATAGAATATATATATATATATATATATATATATATATATATATATATATATATATATATATATATATATATATGTATATATTTTCCAATGCTTAGTCCTGTCTTCAAGTTTTAGTTCTATGTATCTCGAGAAAATAAAAATGAGTGCGATATAACGTGATATGCAATTAATATATGCTTTTATGTTCTAGGTATAAACGCAAATGCTATGCAGTTCTACGTAGGAGGCGTGTCTCATCCGTGGAAGGTTCTTTGCAGTCCTAACAATTTGGACCATGGTGTTCTCATAGTCGGCTATGGCGTTAAAAGTATTTATATTTCTATGTTTTTGTTTTTTAAATGTTAATGTATAAATTGATAAAGGAAAAAATATTTACCAATTTTTTATTCACGTTGTGAATTTGAGTATAATTTAGAATTATATGTAAATATAATAAATGATTCGTATCTCGATCGATATTTGATCGATAATCGATCCATATTCGTTTGAATGGTTTAGAAGAATGAATAAGATAGTGGTAGTAGGTTCATCGCCTGCAAGAGCAATCAATATTGAGAAGTGGTGTGGGAGAAAAGATTAAAAACAAAAAAACTATCTCGTTATCTTGCTTTCTGATTCATAAAAAAAGTCACTTAAATTACATACATATTATAATACTTTTTGTCCCTTCTATAATTAATTCAAAGCGAATATATTTAGTTACTTAAAGCTATAATTATTTTTTCAGACTACCCACTGTTCCATAAGCACCTTCCATACTGGATAGTGAAGAACTCGTGGGGCAAGTCGTGGGGCGAGCAGGGCTACTACCGCGTGTACCGCGGCGACGGCACCTGCGGGGTCAACCAGATGGCTAGCAGCGCGGTTGTATAAGTATATTCATATAAAATACATACATACATATTCCATACATGCACTCAATATGTATGTATGAACCTTGGACCAAAAGAATAAGATACACGGAGGTTGGCTACTAAGATTAGCTCAAATCGGTGTTCAAAATTAATGTTGTCATTGCAATAAATTTTAATAATAGATGTAATCGGAAAGAGTCTGAAATGTATATGAGTTCAGTTAACACAGTGAAAGGTTGTAGTGATATTTTATTGTTCTAAACGCTTCGTCCATTTTATTGTTTTTGTCTGAGGTTTGTTACCTCTAAAGTATATATGTAAGTTTTATGTACAGTTTACGTTTTAAGTGAAAATTCCGAATATTATATGTTGATTATAAATAATTAAATTTTTTGAACATACAATTTATAAATATATTAATTAATTAGTTATACAAAAATAGGATTTGTTTGTTGATAAATCGCGCAACTTGAATTTTCATAACAATAACTAATATTTAGTAGGTAAATGTTATATTCGACCTGCAATTTTAGTATAAGTATCAACAGTCTAATTTTTCAAAACCCCTGTATAGGGATATTTACTTTAATTTGACCTTAAATCCAAAATGTCTGACAATACTTTATCTTACTCCTAAATTACTTTATTAAATTAATTATAAGAAAATAGCTAAATTTGTCTCATTGTTTGTTTTTTTTTACAATTGTAATATGTTTAAATTATATCATCTTTTTAAACAAATATTTAAAAACAAGAGGCTTCCAGTTTTAGGCTGTGAAAATAAAAAAAAATGTATTTATTCAGCCCTTTTTAACGTCCTGGGCACGGACTAACTTTTTCAATACGAGGGGGATCAGGCCAAAAAAAAATATTATGTAACGCTAATTGCAACGGTCGACTTATCCTCTTTTTTATATAATTTAAAATATTTTACTATACTCATTTCAAGTCAACGATATTTTTATAATTTTTAATGGTGCGTGCTGTTGTCTTATAATTTCATACTCTTATGCTTTATTTAGATCTGTATTCTATTAAATGAAATATTATTATTAATTTCTTACTAAGTCTAATACATAGCCCTAGAGTATGGACTGAGCAAAACTCTTATGAAATTGACCACTCTCTAGAATGAGAGAAACCGAACGTGCAGCCAATACCTATCTTTTCTTCTAATTTGACTTTATAAATGGAATATAAAAAAATATAGTATTACAATTTATTAAAAATTATAATCGTATTGCAATGAACACAGAAGACTTCTGGTCGCACACTTTTGACGTGGTTTTGTCTCTGTCGCGCCTTTCAGTCATTTTCAGCAGACGGCTGGACAAGAAACACTCAGTCCACTCTATGTCTATGGTCTTATAACACTATACTTTCGTGCCATAAATTATAAATACAAAAAAAAGAATAAAATAAAAATGGCATATTTTAGCCTTTCTTATGAAAAAGTGAATATATAAATACTCATTTTCCTTATTATTTTAATGTAATTGTGCATGCCTCAACTTACTTCTTTAATATTACTTAATAACCTCGGCTTTACTTATTTAAGCTTAGATTCTGTAAATCCTGTATTTATCAGTTTTTATTAGTTTTAATACATAAATATACATATAATTTGTAATACTAATATTATGTTATTTGAGGTCCATTCAATACAATGAAGACGTTTAATTTAAAAGTTTTGTAAAAATCAAATTATTGATCTATTTGATGTTTTTAATCAATAATTTGATTTAAAATTTAAAAATACTGTTTACTAAAAAATTGTAGAATATATATGTATAATATGACTTTTGGCTTTAATTAATCTCGAATGATAAAACCAATAATTATACCAAACTAGATTTAAGTATACATTTTTGATACACTTTAATGATAAATAAATGTTTCATGCAATAAACATTTGTGTTTTATTTAAGGGTTTACGAGTTTTAACAGAATAAATAAATATAAATCTGTGAAAAATAAGAAAATATAGTTTTATTTTATTTAAAATGACAAATATTCGCGTAAATCTAAGAAAATATTATGAGTTTTAATAGTTTACAACTGCCTTCTGAGCCGGTCGTAGATTCTTCACGGACTAACATACGGACATTTTATTTAAATTTAAAAAATGACGATTCAAAAGTGCTTGTAAAAGTCTATTGCAATAAAGTATATTTTAATTTTTAAATGTTAAAAATATGAGTGCGAGTGTTAGATTACCTTGACTTTTTTTACTTAAGCTTAAAGTTAACTTTTAAACCTTTACTAACTAATTTTACTTTATGTTAATTTTTGTATCTATACTAATATTATAAATATGAAAGTTTGTGAGTGTGGATGTATTTTTGTTACTCTTTTATGTAAAAACTACTGACTGGATTTTGATGAAACTTTACAATAATATAACTCATACCTCAGAATAACACATAGACTACTTTTTATCCCGGAAAAATGTACGTGTTCCGTGGTTCATACCTAGTTATACATATTTACGTATGCCGGAATCGAACTGAAAACATACTTTGCTGTAAAATAAAGATCACTCTGCGTCTTTATAATGATCGTAGTTATTTTAAATACTAAAAAATATAAAATACTATCTACATTTCAAACTATCTGACAGCACATTTTATTATCTTTTCATTGGAGCAATAGGAAACCTATTCATTGCACGGGAAAATGCAGAAAATTGTACTCGAAGCAGAAACTTTTTAGCTGAAGAAGCTCGGTGAACTTTTATATTCCGGTCGTTAGACTACAATGGCGGTTGTGAATAATTTGTAGGCATTTCTTTGAAGGGTATTTTTTTTGCTGTCAATTTTCATGCAAATTTACATATACGTTCAGTAAAAAAGCTCATTTAAAATAAAATTTGTAATTATTAAATATGTATTGTAATTAAAAATGTAAAATTTTGAAGTAGTTTTATTTATTTTTGCAAATAATTAGTTTCAAACACAATTATTACGAGCGATTTTTTCGTCAATTGTTTTTTTTCTCGCGTACTATGACTAAACGGCCAGACATGAAAATATTTCGTATCTTTCACAATTCCGAGACACGAAGTCGAAAACAAGATCGTTACAAATCAATGGAGTTTATCAACTTAGTATCTATGACGTAATTCAATAGCAGCCCGTGTAGCTTCTAATTCAATAAAACGCCTAGACGGAGACGAAACACTGTCTATTACAGCTATACGAAGTACAGATGTTTCGGCATTGTGCAGCGAGGTCGCGGAAGTGGAACGTCGAATGTACTCTTGAAATGGGGTTAGCTGCATAAAATATATGCAGTAAAATACTATAGACACTAGACGTTTTGTAAGCTTTTACAGTAGCTACATATTATCGATTCAATTTCAGACGGTCCTGACGGAATTTTAATGAGTATATTATAACTTTGTTCGATTTATTGTGTTAAACTTAAAATTATATACATATGTTGACCCAGATAACCAGCTATCGTCATACCAAATTTCATCAAAATGCGTCCAGTGGTTTTCTCGTGATGCTTTCCCAAACAGACAGACAAAAATTCTAAAAACTATAGATTCGGCCTCTGTAACGATGATAATGTCTATTTGAATAAGATTTTCCAAAAAATATTTAATGTACAGATTCGGCTTAGTTAGAATTTTATTATAATATAGATTAAAATGTATAAAATCAGATTTTAATACATTTTTCATTTAACTTATACATGGGTATATCAATTCAATAATTAAGTTGCAGTACTGCTTCTAGTTTCAACTTGATTTAAACGAACTTTATTAGTAATTCGAAAGCAGCGCGAAGCTGGCTGTTTATTAATAGGTAATTACTTCATATTGGATTTCTCGAGTGATTTTGATTTATTCAACTAAGATGTATAAATCAAATTGCACTGACTTACAGCTATAAATTAAATTATAGTGCTATATTATATGTACATACAAATACATAATATATTATATATGAACAGATTTGGTTTGATTTTAAAGAAAATAGGTAGGTAAGTATATATATTCTGAGATGATTTTAATTACCTACATCAAGAAAGAATAAAGACCAATTGAAATTCGTTATTGCGTTGCTCATTTTAACTAGTGACTTACCCTCGCTTTACTCGATGGCTCCCTATGGCAATAGTTATTTGTAGTTATTGTACTTAATGTGCAAGTCCTGGTAATCTTTCTCTGGTAAGCATGCAAATCTTTCCAGCCGTTTCTTACTTACAAACTTTCGCATTTATATAGGAATATTCGCATAATAGTAGAATGATATAATGTAAGCCTTAACCTTCGATTTACCTCAACTTGTTTGTCGAAAATATATAAGCGGCAGCAGCAATTACTAAATGAGCCTTTACACACGATATGGATAATGAGAGCAAAATATATAGAAGACTAGCGACTCACTCTCGCTTCGCTCGGGTTCTTTTAATGTTTTGTATAGATGTCTCAGAGATGACATATTTTCCCGCAGTAAAAAGTATCCTCTATATTAATCTGGACAACCAGCTATCATCATACCAAGTTTTATCAAAATCTGTCCAGTGGTTTTCTCGTGATGAGGTCACAGATAGGCAGACAGACAAAAATACTAGAAACTATAGATTTTCCATAAAATATTTAATATACAGACTCGACTCATCCGAATTTTATTATATGTATACGTAAAAATATATATATAGTTTATTTAGAAAGTCATAAAGGACATTAAGTTCATAATTGAGGCACTTTACAATTTGAATCCCAAACGCTGATGTCATGGACATAATATCAGTATAAACGTCAATTAATTAACTAGGGCCACAAGTATGCGTTGCATGCTAATAACATATTGTGCAACAACGTTCGGTCACTTTGACCACAAAATCGATTAATTCTGTACAATTGTAACGTTGTACGTGAGTCTAATTGAACGTTATATGTTAGAATAATAAATAATTAAGCCGTTTTAACGTCCCACTACTGGGCGTACTATCAACGTGCGGCAGATCAGGCAGAATACATACCTTGTATTCAGCCCTTTTTAACGTCCCACTGCTGGGCACGGGCCTCCCTTCAGTACGAGGGGGATCAGGCCATACTCCATCACGCTGGCCATGTGCGGGTTGGCGGACTAGACATGTTTTTTGAAAACTTGCTAGGTTCTCTCAGACATGCAGGTTTCCTCTCAATGTTTTCCTTCACCGTAAGACAAGTGGTAATCATGCTGGAAATGATTCGCACATGAAAATATCAAAGGTGCGAGATCCGGTATTTGAACCCGCTTCACTCGGTTTCCCAAGCGAGCGCGTTACCACTGGGCTACCACTGCCTTTGTACCTACCTACATTATGTAGATATTACACAAAGGTAGTTCAAGGTAGTAGACAAAGGCAGTTTACATTTGCACACTAGGCACATTGATTAAACCAAAATTTCGATATATTATGTAGGCTACATATATAATATATCGAAATTTTCGTTTAATCAATGCTAGTAAGTAGTACACAGCATTGATTAAGATGACAAATGAATTATAAGGTACTATAAAAGGTAGGTTTCATACAAACTTTCATCCCCTATTTTACCCCCTCATGGGATGAATTTCGAAAAATGCTAAAATTTGAGAGCATTAATACCAAATTTCAAGTAATTCTGATCATAAATATTTTTTTGGGTTGTTTTATAACCCGTTTACCCATGGCAATGAGATGATCTTTCGCGATAAAAAGTATCCTATGTCACTCTCAAGCTCTTCAACTACATATCTTTACACCAAAAATCACGCCAATCTGTCACTCCGTTTCGACGTGTAAGAAAGCAAACAAACAAATGAACACACTTTCACATTTTTAATATTAGTATGGATTTTAGAAAAAAACTTTGAAAGTAACATTTGGTTTTTAATTCAACAGCTTATCAAATTACGTAATTTAATTTCAATCTGTAGTACCGAGTTGGATTTACAAATTGTTCTTTCTTTTAATAATATTTTCAATCATATTTATTTTATTATATTATTAGATTAGATTCATTCGTTGTACAACTTGAATGGCTCCTTATATACTTGTAACTTAATAATAAAATCTAACATACATATAAATATCTCGTACCACGGTGTCTGTGGTCGCACTCCTCCGAAATTTTCTCGACCGACTTTAATGATTTTTTTGTATATTTGGTAGTTATGAGAATAGGTCGTAAAGTGTTTTCCACCCTTCTTCTCCCACCCCCCCATTTTTTAATCGCGATTTTAGTATTTTTGTATGAACAATCTACATCTACACAATATTATAAATAGTAAAGATTTGTATTTCTACATTAGTAACGAACAAACTCAAAAACTATTAGACCGATTTAGATGAAATTTAGTAAGAAGATAGTTTTTGACGCGGGCGTAGTCGCGGGTTCTTCTAGTATATCTATAAAAAGCTGTGCATACTTTTAAGTCAAATTTATTGAGATAAAAAGACGTATTATTGTATTAAAAATAAATAAATAAATTTACCACTAACAAATTCATGGGCGTGAATTAGTAAACTATATTTGATCGAACATCTATCCACGTCCAATCGTTTCATTTCGTATTTACATAAATCTAACCGTTCACAGACCGACGTTTATGCCCACTCTATTCAAATTTCTACAGTTTCCAATACTTTTGTGCAGGTTTAAGAGGATTACGGTGTAGGTCCATTTGATGGAAAAGTTTTATTATGTAATTGGTTTCAGTTAGAGATTTATACCGAAGTTTGTAGGTTTAAACTTCACATTTACTTTCAGCGAACGTAAAATACCTAGTACAAATGCTGTGAACATGTAACATTTATTATATAGCAGGTATATAAATGAACAGCTTTCTATGTTATTTTTGTTTAATTTTTATTTTCGTTGTTATTCAATGCGTACTCTATCATAGTAGTTGTAAATTATAAAAAAAATTACAAACCCATTGCTATTTATATAAAGGATAATAAATATAATATGAGAGCTTGGTATTGCATTAATAGGCGCAAAACATAATATTTTATACGGGACCAAGAGTCTATGATATCGCGTAATATCCGCAACAAAATTCATTAATCCAAATAAGGAACCATCATCACAAACCATCGAAACGATCGAAACGAACCATCCAAATTCATTTTTTTTAAGTCGGTCAATTAAAAAATTAATAAAAAAGTCTATGGATAGTGAAAAGAAAATATATTACAGATTAAAAATATATTTATGGAGGTACATTGTTCGTTGGCAAGCAACAATCCCGCGCTCGGCTGGCCAGCTGGCCGGTAGAGATGTGCTCGTTGTACCGATTATTCTTCAACATTTTACGTCTGACATACTCTTTAGTGGTTAAAATATATATTAAATTCTTAAAATGTAGATTAAAATTGTGTATGTAAAGATTTTTAATATCACTGCAGTCATTAGGGTTCCGTATAACATAACATTAAATTTATATATATTTTGTAATTTAATTAATTTACTAAACTTTGCGGTAAAACTAAATATATACTCTTATTTTTTATGAAATTCAGCAACAGAACTGACATATTACAAGACTTATAATATAGTCGGTTGACATTCTTCATTGAGTTAGAGGTCGAAAGTTCAAGTAGGTATCATAGTAGAAAAGAGAAGGACTTAGCTTAAGATTAAATCTAGTAATTTAAATAAGCAATCCTATTTAATATTCCGTGAAAAGAGTATATCTATCTAACTAGGTTAGCGCATTAAAATCTTATTTGTCTGATTGCGAGAAAGAATTAAAATTATTATTGTGTATGTACCTTCCTAAGATCATTATTTGCTAAAAGTTTAAGAGTTATTTTATAAAATACTAATGACTTACCATCGTTTCAGTCGGGCTCGCCTTTAGATGAAGAAAGAAAAATGTATCCCACGGGAACCACACATTTTTCCGGGATACAAAGTAGCGTATTTGTTATTCTGATGTATGAACTATATTATTGTAAAGTTAACATTAAAATCCAATCAGTAGTTTTTGTGTACTAAGCTGTATAAGTTACTATAGTTTTTTAACTATCCCACGGAAACTCTTTAATTTTCCGGGATGAAAAGTATCTAAGATGCTTACCGGGGATATAAGGTAGCACCATATAAAATTTCTTTTAAATCGGTCCAATAGATTAGGAGATTAGCCCGTACAAACAGACAAACAGAACAAAAAAATTGAAAAAAGCTGGATTTGTTCTATTTCTATACTTTCCCCCTGACTCGGTTTTTAGCATTTTTTTTCTATATATACAGACTTTCGACCTCTACAGTTTTATTATAGTATAGATGATATATAGCGTATAGTCTTCCTGAATAAACAGGCTAAATAATGCAAAAATAATTTTTCAAATCGCATTAGTAGCTCCTGAGATTAACGCGTTCAAATAAACAAACAAACAAGCTCTGTCTTTTTATAATATTAGTATAAATTAAATTTTAAGTATATGGTTAAAATAAATAATTTTCGCTCATAATATTGTTTAGAACTATTTTACTGTAAAATATATACCATAGATTTGTAGAATTTCTCATAAAAATACTCGTCGTTAAATAATTTGACATATTTATTTTAATAGACAAATCCAAAAATAAAATTTCAATTTTATTTGATTTACTTTATTTGGAGAAAACGTGCAAGTGATTTATTTTGTAAAACATTTTCATAACTATTTAAGAAAATCTGTTATAAATTCTGTAAATTGTTTTCTACAATATTGATAAAATTGCAGTAATGTCCGAAGAAAACAGTCTAAAAACAGCAATATCAGAAGAAATATGTAATTCAATATTAAATAACAAAATGATTTCTAATAAAAACATTTATTTTGAAACTCCTTGTAAAGTGTTTAGAAATGATACAACAGCAGTCGAAGTGGTCGTCAAACAAGTTAAAAATAAAACTAAGAAACTTAATGGTACAAATGACAAAACAAATATAGACCAACTGTACGAGTGTATAGAACTTTTAACGACCGAAGTAAACAAAGCCAAAATGAACTTAGATGAGATGAAAAACAGTTTCAAGATAGTTATGTTTGAGATGGAAAGACAATTAGACGCGGCAAATCAACGCGAGTTGAAAACACACACAAACAATTTGTTCCTACAGTTAGAAAAAGAAAAATTGAAGACCATATTGGATTCAAAGTCAAACTTGATCACAAAACTGAAGAAGGAATTGTTTAGTATGAGAAGAATTATTAAGTTAGTAAGTAAAGGCATTCGATGTGTCTCTTTTTCCTCGGAAAGTGTCACTATATCTGATTCGGAATATACTGAATTTGAGAACGATTTGTCAAAGGATTTTTCGAAACTAATTATATCAAATAAAGATAGTATTAATACTACTAATGGAACGATGTTGACTATAACTTAAATTGTAAATAATGTATAAGTTGTTTTACATGTAAAGCGAAAAATAAAGTGTAATAAACATACTATAAATATTTAACTCGTTTATTTGTTAATATTTATTTCCTTAACAAAATTTATTTATAAACTTCTGAAAGCTTAAAAACACAATTTTATTTAAAATTAGCGACTCACCCTCGCTTCGCTTGGGTTTGTCCCTGGGTTGATTCCCCATATAAGCTTTCATCCACATTTTCACTCCTTTAAGAGATGATTTCCGGGAAAACAACTATCATTCCCAGGGTCTCTATCTTCTTACCAAATTTCATCTAAATCGGTCTAGTAGTTTCGGAGCTTATTCGGTACAAGCGGACAAATAAAAATAATCTCTTTTATAATATTAGTATAGAAGAAGAAAAAATTACCAAAAAAAAGAAGCTACATTTTTCTATGAATAACTATAACCTATTTAGAAAAATATAAAAATCCACGTAAAATAAAAAATATCACGTAACATACACAAAACAATAACAAACACCTACTTATATAATTGATATAATACGAGTATATCAACGTATACGTGATCTCTATTTTTGAAGTTGTTCAATAACTATACATTAAACTCATAAAAAATACTTTCATAGATAATACACGAATATTTGACATTTTAAATAAAATTATTTTTTAAATTTTAACTCAGTTATTCCATTTTTTTGAAATATGCAAAAACGTAAAGCATTCCACATTTTTGGGGAGGAAATATAAAAAGGGGCCCCTTAACTATTTTTAAAAGTTATAGTAATTTCAGAACAGTCTAAAATACTACTTGATTATAATAATTTCAAAACAGCTGATCTTGCCCTAAATGGAGTGAGTGGGTGCAGACCTGGGGTCGGGTGCACGTCGCGGAACCGGGTGACCGGGGCGCGCCGTGACCGCGTGACCCGGTCACGCCGGGAGACGCCCGGCGCCGCTGCAGGATAACAACATACTTCCCACTTACTATTATGAATATGCACACAGGATAGTGCATATCCACTTAATATTTCAACTAATATCTTCTAGTAATTATATTTTAGTAATTGATATCTAAAAATTCTAAATGTTTGCTTGAATTTTCCTCAAATTATATAAAAGTCTAATACGTTATTACGATTACTACGTCAAAAATGGAGGTATATTATTTTACTAAATTAGCATTCAATTTTTCTCATGATATGCTTTGGCCGGAAGAATCGGCCGAAGAGATCCTCCTCCTTCATCAATCCAGTATAGGATTAAGGTATATTAAGAAAACTATTCATTTTTTATATTATTTTTAAATATTTTAAAAACTTTACAAGAGTGTAAAATAATATTTTGATTTATGAAACACAATAAGTGATGTTTACAAATGTAACTATTACGACACAGAAAAGGTTTTTTGTTAAAGCTTTATTGTTTGAAGTTTGTTTGAGTTTTAGTTTTCATTTTACTAAATAACTTATTTCGCATAAATTAAAAGTATAATGTAGTTAAGAGATCAAAAGCTTAAAAGTTATTATAGGGTTAGGATTATGTTTTTTTTAGAAACAAATACAATATTATATTTAACAAAAAACATTTTTGAACTAAATTCAAATAAATCCCAACTAAATTGTCATCTTTTTTAGAAAATGAATGTATTCAGCCCTTTTTAACGTCCCACTGCTAAGTTCGGGCCTCCCTTCAATACGAGGGGGTTTAGGCCATAGTCCATACCACGCTGGCCAAGTGCGGGCGGACTTCATATGTCTTTCGAAAACTTGCTAGGTTCTTTCAGAGATGCAGGTTTCCTCAGGATGTTTCCCTTCACCGTAAGACAAGTGGTAATCATGGGAGAAATAATTCGCACATGAAAATATCACTCGGTTTCCCAAACGAGCGCGTTACCACTTCTCTACAATTACTAAAATGTATATAAATCTAAATATAGTTAAAAAAAAGTTAAATCAAACTTAATTTAATAGAAAAATGAAAAATAGACAAAATATTTTATTCATACAATTGTTAGTTATTTTTAATCTGTTTGAATTGTATTTTGAAATTTTGAATAACCAGCCCGAAAATTAATAACAGCGCCTCTACAGCGCCAAAATACTAAACCCAAAATAAATTTCCAACCAAAAAAAAAGGAAAAACTGTAGAAAATGGGGTCGTCGCACTCTATTCATCCTGTTCGATAGCAAATCCATTTGTATGCACTCTTATTGCATATTTGAGCCGAAGTGACTCGAACCACGTTACCGTGACACTTTTAAAGCCAACGTCGATTCATCCGACCTCTGTCGAGCCGAAGAGAACTGCGGCCAGTCGCTACAAACCCTTCGCGTACTTCACCCGTCTTACTTCTAAGCACTCTCCCTTATGTGATAAACTTTTATTTTAACAGTGCTGTGCACGATATATCGCTTATTTATATTAATTAATTAGTGTCATCATGGGGTTCTATCAGGCGAGATCGAAACTGTAGAAGGAAAGGTGAGTGTAACGTTTATAGTATTTTATTTAGTATCTAGTATTGAAATGCGAGTCGTCTTTCTAATAAAATTCACTCTATTTTTAAATGAGAAATTAAATATTTTACTTTCAGGACACTGAAATAATAAAAATCTTTTACATTATACATATATATGTATATGGTAATTTTTTCCCATTCGGTTTTCTCAAACGAGTTCGATTTGCTATACTCGAATAATAATATAATAAAACTAAATTATAATTATTTATTTTAAAAATTAAAGCAAGCCTTTAAAATGATATTCTGTGTTTCTAGCTCCAGCAATTTAGTGGCTAAAATAATAAACAGATTATACAAAGTGCCCAAGTTAATATTTATTCAGAGTAACCTAAGTTTAGTTTGAGTTGAGAACTGAAAATCTAAGCTTTGACCTAATTTAATAATTGCAGATTACTTCAGGTTTTTACACAGAGTGATTGCTATCTGACCTCCGCTACATGTCGGGGGCGAATCTATAACAGACCCCATTACACAAATTAATTATTATTTAAGTCAACATTTTAATATATTTAAATTATTTAAAACAGATTTGAAATGGTCTTATAAAACTGAAATATGTGTATAACAATAAAATTTTGAAATATGTGTATTATAATAAATTTCACATATAATAAAATTTTAACTGAGTCGAATTTACATTAAATATTTTTTGGAAAATCTTATTGAAATAGTCATTATTATCGATACAGAGGTGGAATCTATAGTTTTTAGAATTTTTGTCTGTCTGTCTGTCTGTCTGTCTGTCTGTCTGTCTGTCTGTCTGTCTGGGAAAATATTGTAAGAAAACTACTGGACAGAATTTGATGAAATTTAGTATGATGATACTTGGTCTTGGTACCTCTTCGTTTTGGTACTTGGTGATGGTCAACATATAGGATACTTTTTACCGCAGGAAAATATCTCATCTCTGAGATATCTGTACTAAACGTTAAATCATATTATATTGTTATTCACTTACATAATATTGTTATGTTATAAGCGCAAAAGTTTATAAGCGAGTGTGTTTACCACTTTGAATAACAGGTCTACGGATTTCTGTGAAATTTACAGTAGCTTATATCATGAACAAACACATAGACTTTTATGTATTTTCTTTCTTTTTGTATGCGAGCGGAATTAATTTAGATTAGAAATTATACAGCAATACAAACACTTCTGATGTAACAAAATTTTTGAAATCATTTTTGTAAAATAGTGGGTAGGCACTGTCTGTAACAAATATGTGTTCAAGACGTCTATAACCTTAGTCTCTCCCGTAACCATGATTGCTCTAAAGCATTGGAAACGTCGGGAACCAAAAATAATAATAAATCCGCAAAATCCGAAAAGATAGTTTTATTTAAAATACAGAACATATAGATTATGTACCAGAGGCGACCTTATCGCTAAAACAGTGATCTCTTCCAGGCAACCTTTAGGTATAGGAAATAGCAAACTGTAGAGGGAAGGGGTGCAAATCATGAACGAATTAACCAATTCGTCCATGGTGCAAATAATAGAGTTACAAATATCACTACATATTAAAAATAGAATACAAATATATATATATACTTATATACATATACATGCCATAGAAATAGTTGTTTGTTCTTTTAAAATTTGAATGTAAAAGCGTGCATGCAAGTGCATACGTTACTGTATTAAAACGAAAATACTACAAATCCTTTCGTTTTACATTTTCTAACATTTCTAATCGGAACCAAGTGGAAAACTAATTTGAATCTTTCCATTGATATCGTAAAATCAATACCGAAGTATTTATTCGTAGATGTTTAAATAATATATTTCATTTCTTTACCCTTGTTATATAAAAAATAATAATATTTTCATAGAATTACACGGATATTTAATTTTTTAAATAAAACTGTAGAAATGATTTGGAAAACTAAAAAGAATTTACCGGAAAAGAATAATTTTGTTTCAAATGGAAAATATATTGTTTAAAATAACAGCAATAAACAGATATGTAAAAGAAAACAAAAAATAACAGATTTTAATGAAACTACAATAATATAGCCTCATACACCAGAATAACACGTAAGCTACTTTTTGTCTCGGAAAAATGTACGCTTACCGTGGGCTAGATTTGTTTTTGTTTTTCTAGTTGATAGTTGACAAATAAAGGAACAAAAAGGTAAAAAAAACGTCAATTATATAAAGAAATAGTCCTTAGCTCAGTATATTATTATTACTAAATATGTTTCGAATACTTTAGTTACCAAAATCCAAATTATCATCTTTTCGCTAAAACGAAGGCTCCAGATTCGATTCTGCCATCTAAATGCTTAGTCTTTACTGTACATGATTGTAAAGCACTGTGTTCAATTATATTATTAATGATAACTTCTAATACTTCATAGATTTACGCGAATATTTGACACTTTAAAAAAACTATTCTTACAGATATTTTTCTCGGGTTTATTTTGATTTTTGGTTCCTGATGTTTCCAATGATTTATTGCAATGATGGCCATGGGAGAAACACTTCTATAAATTCGCGATAGTTTAGATTTTAGATTCCTTCTTTGAAGTGGATAAAAACTGTTGTCACCCAATATTAATATTTTTCTATTTAAACTGCGATCAGATGGAAAAAAACTTACTTATAATATAACTTAAATTTTAACAAGGCAACTTTTGTTAACACGTATACTACACCTGTTCTTGTACTCATATATACTTTTGTTTACCCATATTTTGTACGTTTCCAGGTATACGCACCCCTGTGACGTATAAATCACATAATGTTCTCCTTATGTCGGCGCTACAAAGATGAACACGGTAAGTTTTACACAATATTATTATATTACTTTTATTAAGGCTCAATAGCTAGAGTTTGTTCGAAAACCTATTACTATGCTAACAATGTTTCTGTCCGTTTGTGCCATTTTTAAAGTATTGTATCTTTTCATATGGAGGTGGTTGAAATATTCACACATTACGTGTTAGGGCGGCAAACCTTATTAGCAGTAATAATTTAAACATTAAAATCCGTACAACAAACTTGTTTTTTTGTCATATTTTTTGCTCTAAAGTTAAATATATTTATTATACATATTTGACTAGTTTTTTATTTGTATAATTATAAATTATAAATAAAATATTTTTACATTTAGTAACATAAGTGCTAAGCTCTTTTTAAAAGACATAACACCTCGTCTTATCACCTCTACTGGTGACAGGAGAGCTGGCGCATTTTTCGCCCAAAGAATCGGCATTGCCTTTCAACGGGGAAATGCGGCTAGCATTCTTGCCACTATTCTACGCGGACATGACTTGTACAGTAATAATTAAGTGTACATTTGATTTGTATATATAATTAAGTATATTTGTAACTTTCTTTATTGTTTTTACATTTTAAAATTTATTTCACAATGAGTAATATGAGATTTATAGTATTAATAATATTTGTTTACGATTTTAAGGGCAACTAAATGCATCCGATCTCGATATATCTGTATGACATAAGGCTTTTCAAAAAATCGATCAAAAAAGTACTAAATGCACAATCAGCGACAAAAAATATCCTCACCAAATGAGCGCCCATTTGAACATTCGGGTGCGCTTTTAATTTTTTTTTGTGAAAACAACTTTAAGCATCGTGCTTATAGTTCAATTTACATTGTTGTATATTTATTTCAACTAGAATAATTACCTAATCACAATTGGTGACAGTTTTAAAGAGAACTTTTGCATGGGATTGTGTATCTGGTACGTTTTGATCGAGTTTTTGATCGATGTTTCAAAATAAACATTATAAATAGTACTCGCTTTCCAAACTCTTTTGAAAATACAATGACTTTCGAAGTGTTATCAATTTAAGAAAAACACTAAATTTTGTTCACAACTTCACAAGAACATTATTAAAAAAAAACAGAAACTTTTTCTAAGACCACGATTAGAAATTGTATCTAACAAAAAGCAATTACACCTCACTGATCACCTTCAGGATATTTATTTCTTTGAAAAAAGTCATATTAGAGTATTGAAATACTTCAACAAATTTCTTTTCATATTATGCAAAACCATTCCACTTCGAAATCGAGCAAAAAACTTTATATTTTATTCTACTTATCATTATACGAACGTAGTTGTGACGTCTCCAGAGAAATAGAAAATGTGGACATAATACGAGTTCAAGTGCTTCGTACTAGCGGGGACTTCGTTAGCATTATAAAAATGCTTTACTGAGCCACTGTTTTCTTTTTTAAATATATGTATGTATTTCAATGCATGTAGATTGTGGATACATTCTAAGCTGTTCTGTTTTCATTTTATTCGTTACGTCGGAATATAATTACATATGTTCATATTATTTTAAAATTAAATTTATCTATTATTTTATTTATCTATTATAATATAATACAATTGTAACTGAGTAAAAAGTAAGTAGCGTACTAGAACTAAGTAAGAGTAAATATTTTCTGTAAAATCTTATTGAAATAGTCATTATTATCGATATATAAGCCAAATCTATAGTTTTTACAATTATTGTCTGTCTGTCTGTCTATCTGTGTCTGGGAAAACCACTGGACCGATTTTGATGAAATTTGATATTGCGAGCGATTTATTTGCATGGCAGCCTTTTTGAAATTTGACATCTCTTTTTTTTATTATAGCAGCAATCAAAATACACACTGAATGAAAATTTCAACTCTCTATCTATTCATGAGATACAACCCTCTGACAGAAGGACAGCGGAGGCTTAGTAATAGGGTTCCGTTGGCACCCTTCAGGTACCGAACCCTAAAAACGTATTTATTTAATCAAAAGGAATCTTTCATTCATTTTTATTATATTCGTTAAAAAGTAATTGTCGCGTACACGGATGACATTTATCGTGCGTACACTGTGGTCAACTGTTATTAAAAATATGGAGGCAATATGGCCGCGCGGGGAAGTTAGCGCTGCTTTATGGAGCTAGTGGCAATGTAATGAAAAAATGGAATGTCTAATGGAATATTAATTGAGCGTTTATACTGCGAGGTAAAATTCCAATAATTTCTTTAGATATTATGACATTGATGTAGACAGCCTTCTATCCTGTAAATGTAATAAAATTTAATAGGTTTCATTTTTATATTTTCTACTTAAGAATATGGATTGTTATTGATTACGTCCGTCTTAACATTTTTTTTAATGTTCTGGAAATTGTTTGTTATACATACTAATTAGGTATAGCATCCCACTTCACCCGTGTAATTATTCAATTAATACATTAATTTCTATAATAATATCATCTTAACCGGATTCGGCTACGGCGGCCAATCTCACTGAGAAATTTTCACAATAGGTATACTTAGATCGATCCGGGAATTGAACACAGGACCTCCGGATCTGAAGCCAAAAATGTTAATCACTACACAAAAGGCAGATAATTGTATATTATGTATAGAACCCAAACGAGAACTACTAGCTACGCCGATAATGTGCTGTTTGCAATCTTTTTACAAAATACATCCATCTACTTCGACAACAACATAAAATTTGCTCAAAGCGTTTTACGTAAACAATAATATGTGCACAAAACAAAGGGATCTTCGCCATTTGTATATACCCATACGAGTTTTACTGAAAAGCATTGGAATTTATTATATTATTTTCGACTATCTATTGATTTTTAGGATTTCCTACACAAGGGACCCTGACGGAACAATTTATGGACGAGATCTCAGTTAGAGATAAGTCCACCTTTGCCCACAATTTTCTCTTAGCCAACTTAATCGCTATTCTCTTAGCCTACAACTAAAAGAATAAAATACGAGTAGAACGTATAGAATAATAAAAGAAACTGTTAATATCCAAAAGAAAATATATTACTTTTTTTTCACATTTTATTTAATTACTAGCGACTAACCCTTGCTCCGCTTGGGTTCATCACTACGTACGTTTTAACCTTTAGTATAGATTTCTCAGAGATGAGATATTTTCCCGTAGTAAAAAGTATCCTATATGTTGACCCGGATAACTAGCTATCATCATACCAAATTTCATCAAAATCTGTCCAGTGGTTTTCTCGTGGTGCGTTCCCAGACAGAGAGACAGACAAAAAATCCAAAAACTATAGATTCAGCCTCTGCATCGATAATAATTAATATTTCAGTAAGATTTTCTAAAAAATATTTAATGTTCAGACTTGACTCAGTTTATTTAATCAACCCCCCCAACGTGCGTTCACCTTCTCGTGGTGGGGGGGCTCAGTAGTGCCCGGCAATCCAACCGGGCGCGAAGCTAAGAAACGCACAGGGAGGTTGCCCACTTCGGTGGGCGGTGGGAGGTGGCCCTCTTCGGGGGGGGGGGGCGGTGTACCATGCGGGTTGCTCCTGGTACTTCTCTGATAGCAGAGTGGACTGTGGAGCAACCCCATGGTTGTGGTGGTTTGCTTCGGCAGACCTGCCGCCGGGGCGTCGTAGTTGAATGCGTAAGCGATCCTGCGACGCCCCATTAAGACGGGGGAAGGTTTTGTTGGGTTTTAGTGGGTAGTACTGGCTGTATTACGCCGGTGAGTCCCACACGTCGTACGTAAATGCATTTCCCAACGTTAAAAAAAAAAAAAGTTTATTTAATCAATATAGATTTCTAAGACAATTTTAATATTATAGTTCTATGACTTTTTACGTTTTCGCATGCACGTTCATGTTAGCTGCATGCTGCCTGCTCATGTTATGATTACTTCTATAGTTATAGTTTATTTAAGTTATTATTTCATATACCTACTGCAAGCATATAAGGAAGTTTTTTTGCCCTTCTGTTGGACACAACGACAGGACAGCTAACTATACCATTTTAGGTTTCAACTACTTCCTTTTGCACGTTTCGTGTAACTTATATTTTTAAGTTTCAATAATAAGCCTGTGCTGACCGTCCGTCTATCTATTTTATTTTTAACAGACTCTCTAATAAAAAGAAAGGTATAAAGAGGGGAATCGCCGTACATTCTTTTAAGGTATCGTATCCTCTAAGGTACGAATCTTCGAGTGCACTTAAGCGAATTTTATAGAACAATATCGACTAACGCTGCTTCTTTTCCTGAAGAGCTAAATAAAATCTTTGTTTATTTCAAGTATAAATTTAAGCGCCATTTACATGGAGAGAGTTTCTTGTCTCGAACATACGATTATCGAAGAAAAAATATGTTCATGTAAACTTAAGTTTTAACCTACAATATCGTACGTGAAAGGGCGATTATCGCCTTGTCATTGAATACTGGAGTCTTAGATTTACGCGAATACTTGACATTTTAAATAAAACTATCTTTTCGGATTATTTCGCGGATTTATTTTGATTTTTGGTTCCCGACGTTTCGAATGCTTTACAGCATCCATGGTCACGGGAGAGACTTATGTTAGTAAAGTAGAGTTATGTAAAGTATTATGGTTTACATAAATTAAAATATTAAGTAGAACACTTTTGTGTTTTAAAATCGACCGCTCTTTAGTCAACATGTATTTGAGTTCTAATTCGTCCCTGCATCTAATTCGTACCGACGCGATGTTTCGTTAGAGCAAAACAACAAACTCAATTTGCAAGTTTGTAGCGTGGAAGGCATTTATATGCAATATGTATTAGTACAGCACTGAATATACTTTGCCTGTGAATCTCTTAAAACGTTTTACTTCAACAATGAACTTTCAAATAATATAACAGTCTACGTACATAATGTAGTCGTACACTGCATTAGCTTAGCAGCTTTTCTTGATGGCGACACACGGAAAATATTGTTACTCATACAAACTTTACCACATTTAAAAAAAAAAATATTTTGTATATATTAGAGCTTT